CCCCGTGTGCGGCAAAGACGGATAACCATCCGTCCGATCCAGTTTTGCGACCACCGAGGGACAAGAGATCATCTCACGCGGCCACCCAGTACCGAGAAGTGACGTGTCCCCAAAATATCGTGACCCGCCTTTGTGGTGTATTGGACAGAGTCCCTGGACAGAACTGGACTTGTGTGAACAAAGCAGTGGAAGAACTGGGCTTGGAGGTGTTTGCTAGTTTTGTGACCACGCGGCACAAATATCGTACGGGGGATTTGCACGTGGATCTCGACGAGGCGGATTTCGGCTATGCCGTGGGTGAGGTGGAAGCCGTGGTCCGGCGGTTAGAAGATGTCCCTGAAGCTCTGGAGAAGATTCAGAAGTTTTGCAGGCAGCTAGGTAAGGCTGATCTTCTTCGGTCTTGTGTGTTTGTGTACGAGCGTGTGATAAAATTCAATTTTTTAAAAAAAATGATTGGACATCTTCATCTTAAACGCCTTCTCGGCTCGAGAAAAGGACTTTGGGAAAGTTTCAGATTTAAGATGGCATCAGCTTCATTCATTAATTACAACCTGGAATTTTGCTCAAATCTTTGTTCTAGCCCACGGGTGTCAAACTGGATTTCTTTGAGGGCCAGATCAGCATTGTAGTTCTTTGCGGGCCAGCGGTGGGTGGGGTGAGGTGGGGGAAACAGGATGGTCGCCTCCTGCAGCACTTTGCTGGTGAAAATGGGGCACAGCCTCATTTTCGGCCTCCATGGCCTGTAGCACTTTCCCGGCCAAAAATGGGCCTCAAGGAGGCCCCCCGTGGCCCGTTTTCGGCCTCCCTCAACACTCTGCCAGCCAAAAATGGGCCAAGTGGAGGTCCCGCGAGGCCCGTTTTTGGCCGGCAGAATGCAGCAGGAGGCCGGGTAGACTTAAATGGGCCGCGGGGAGCTGCATGTGGCCCCCTGCGGCCCATTTTGGCTGGCAGAAGCACCACAGGCTGGTCCTTTGATATTTCCAGGCCTGCCCGCAGGCCAGATTTAAGCACCTCGCAGAGTTTGACACCCCCTGTTCTAGGCTGTCAATAGAAAGAAGAAAAAAAATTTTTCCCCCTTCCTCTGCTAGGCTTGGAAGAAAAGACCGCCATTCCTGGCAAGATGTCGGTGTATTTGCACAGATTCAGACCCGCCCATTACAAGGCCTTGACGGAGGCTGGAATTATCCGGAAAGTGATAAGTGCAACAGAGATGCCGGATGGAAAAGTCTGACTGAGCAAGAACCAGGATGGGGTGAGAGAGTTTCATCTCCAAATTACAGGATATTCCAGAATTATCTTTACATTAAATCGAAATGATCTTTAAATTAAAAGAGCAATTCCAATAAAACTCTCCTTTTCCTTCCAAAGATATTGCAAAGATAGTTTCTTTTTCTTTTAAATTTGGTGGTTGTGATCTTTTCACCTTTCAACTGTGTTTCTCAATCTCTGGCCCCTTCAAAATGGCCGGACTTCAACTCCCAGAATTCCCCAGCCAGCTTTGTGAGGAGAAAGAGGAAAAGCTTTGCTGGCTGGGGAATTCTGGGAGTTGAAGTCCAGCCATCTTACAAGGGGCAAGAGAGATTGAGAAACACTTGCTTCAGTATTTCATGAGCCTGACGTGACATCACAGCGGGCGAGCCAATGGCTGAAAGAGGGAGGGGCTTGGCTGGTTGGCTGATCATCACTTGGATTGCCGAAAATTATCTGGAGAAAAAAGGTCTGTTTGTGATCAGACTTAAAAACAGCTTGGAACGTGGTGGAGATTTAAGAGATGAAAGAAGAAACATCTAAAACCCAGTTTTTTAATCCGAACACACCATCTAGGCAGGGGTGCTATTCACTTACTTTCCCTACCGAGCCTCAAAAATGTGCCTAAATAGGATGGCATAGAGCCGGGGCGAGTGGGCAGCCCCTCCCGCGATTCCTGTTACCGGTACGGGTAAACCGATCCGAACCGGCTGAACCGATCCGAACCGGCTGAATATCACCTAGCTGACTTCGCCCTTCATGCTACCTTACCCTGGTTAGGGCAGGGAGTCGACAGCCGAAAGTTGCGACACCCATTTAAAAGGGGCGGAGCTTGATATGATCTAAATTAGGGCGGCCATTTTGACTCCTGGTTACATTTGTTTCGAATCGACCTTGTCAACTTTTTAAGATTTGTGGGACTTTCAACTCTCGAGTTCTCCAGCCAAACGAAGCAATGTGGTTTGATCAATTATTAGTCACTGATCTCCCTCTCTGGACCAGAGGTGGTGGGAGGTGAAGACCTGGAGGGTTAGCTTTCACCGTGGTTTATGAACAAGACATGGGCCGGCTTGGAATATGGAGGACACCATGGGTTCAGAAGACACAACGTTCAACGTCCGTGTAGACCTTCCTGAGAAGATCTCAAGGGAGACTTGACTTCCTCCAGTGTCAACGTGTTGGACAGGGTTCATGGAAGCTGGAGACCAGGACAGGAGACCTGGTGGCTCGGGGGTTATCCATCTGTGCGCCCAACGTGGACGGTTAGATCCATCAAGGTGCGAGAAGCTGATGGGACTCCATACAGGACATCTCTTCCAGGGGTGGGATTGAAAAATTTTAGCAACTGGTTCTCTGCCAGGTTGCTGTGTGGGCGTGGCCATGGGGGTGTGGCCTACTCAGCCTCCTTCACCATGGTGGAGGGGGGCGTTTTTGCCCTCCCCAGGCTCCAGAGGCTTTCCTTGAGCCTTCGGGAGGACGAAAACAGCCTCCGCCCGGACTCGTTTCTGGAACTTCCAGGAGGCCCATTTTTCACCGTTCCAGAGCCTCCATGCGGGCCTTGAACTTAACTCACATCCAAAACCAGCCGTCTGGAGGCCGGCCAGGGAAGGGCCAGCCAGTCCTTGCAACTACTGGTTCGGTGAACTAGATGTAAAATTAGCATCCGATTCGCCCGAACCGGCCGAATCCCACCCTTGATCCCTTCCCTTGGTTTAGCTCGTCTTATGGGGGGGTCTCCTGAGGGATGTGTACGTGTGGGGCAATTTAGGGGAGCCCGGCCTCTTACATTTTCCAGGACGGCCCCACGACTGGATCCGTTCACATCGCGGGCCGGATGTAGCCCCCACCCCACCCCGGGCCTTGTGTTTGACACCCCTGCTCTAAATTGACCCTTCAAAAGGGAGAAAAATCCGTGCGCGTGGCGGCTGCGTCGATTCGACAACCAGCTTCTTCCCTTCACTCGTTTACCGCCATTGATTTCCACTTAGTCTCGCTCGGTTGTTGTGGAGTTTCCCCATCCGGCTGATCAATTCAATTGATTTACTAGCAGTTGAAGTGAGGAGAGAGGAAAAAGCCACCGACGAGCCATCGGGATTCCCATAATTACACCTCCGCACGTGCAAACCCTCCACAAGGGCTTGGCGCCGCCCGCTCTTTGGGAAGCCCTGCTTCGAACGTACATTCTGCTGGTAGTCCTTGACTTACGACAGTTCATTTAGTGACGGAGGTTACAACGGCATCGGAAAAAGTGACGATTTCATTCAAACCAATATTCTTAATTCCTTTCGCTTTTTTAAACGGTCTTGGCCATTCTAGCTAGCAGGTTACGGAGTCTCAAGGCTTGTCGGCTCCTAAATATGAGCTTCTTCATACAGGTAGTCCTCGATTTACGACAATTCATTTAGTGACCGAAGTTACAATGGACCAGAAAAAGTGAGCAATATTCTTGATTATTTTTGGGTTTTTTTAAGCATTCGTGGCCATTCTAGCTAGCAGGTTACTGAGTCTCAAAGCCTGTCCAGCTTCTCAATTTTAGCTTCTTCATGCAGGTAGTCCTCGATTTACGACACTTCATTTAGTGACCAAAGTTACAACGGCACTGGGCAAAGTGACTTGAGGGCCGTTTTTCACTCTTACGACCGTTGCAGCGTTCCTCTTGGTCAAGGGATCAAAATTCAGCTTGCCTGGCAGCTGTTTCATACTTACGACCGTTGCTGCATCCCAAGGTCATGTTATCCACTTTTGCGACCTTCCGACAAGCGACGTCGAGGCAGATTCACTTAACAACCGGGTTACTAAGTTACCAAGTTGCACTGATTCGCTTAACAACCGGGACCAGAAAGGTCGTAAAGTGGGGCAAAGCTCATTGAACAAATGTTTTGCTTAACGACAGAAATTTTGGGCTCGATTGTGATTGTAAGTCGAGGACTACCTGTACATGGCTCCCCTGCCTTCACTCACTCATTGGGCCATCCAACCTTCCCTGATTTGCATTTATTTATTTATTTTTTTATTTTATTTTATTTATATACCGCCCTTCTCCCAAAGGACTCAGGGCGGTGAACAGCCATAATAAAAACAATGTACAAAAAGATGCAAAGGCTAAAAGCCCCCTCCCTAATATCTTTACACAGGTATGGCAGTCCTCGACTTACGACCATAACTGAGCCCAAAATTTCTGCTGCTAAGCGAGAGACTTGAAAAGCGAGTGTCTCGGTTAGCAACGGAAATTTTGGGCTCAATTGTCATAAGTCAAGGACTGCCTGTATAAAAACCGTATTGTGGTTTAGACAGGCTTGGGAGCGGTTCCTCCCCCCCCCCCCGGTGTCCTCAGAATACAGCTAGTCCTCGATTTACAGCCACAAAATGCCTGTTGTTAAGTGAAACATTGGCTTAGTGAGTTTTGCCCTCCCTGTTACCACCGTTCTGGCCTCCGTTGTTAAGCGAATCGCTGCAGTGGATGACTTACTAACCCGGTTGTCAAGTGAACCGGGCTTCCCCGTGGACTTCGCTCGTCAGAAGGTCGCAAAAGCGGATTACGTGACCCCCCCCCCCCGGGACACGGCGACCGTCGTAAGTCTGAACTAGGTGCCTGAATTTTGATCACGTGACGTGAGAATGCGGGAAAGGTCATAAACGGTGCCAAGTCCCTTTTTTCCGGGCCGTCGTAACTTTGAGCGGTCACTAAATGAACGGTCATACGTCGAGGACTCCCTGCCTGTAAAGTCATTTGTAAACCTCATGGGCGTCTGTGGGATAACAGTACACGTTTATTCAAGCGCATGTTTAAAGGGGAAACACAAACACCGGCGGCTGTTACTCCAGGAGTTCTTTACTCCTTGAGTAACCTACTATTCACTTCCACGCAGTCTCCGGGAACGAGTTGAGTTCTTCGACGTGTTGTACAACAGCCCCGGAAGGCAGCGTGTAGGAAAAGCGTAGCCTCATCCGGAGAGGGATCTGGGTTCAAGAAACAAGAAAAGAGAGATAACGTCCCAACTTCGCACTAACTACGTGCTTGGAGGTTCCCAGATTCCAGCGGAATCCAGCGGATTCCAGCGGAAGGAAAAGCAATATATTGTATGTTGTACAGATAGCGGCCAATTAAAATTATGACGAACCTCTCCAAGGTAATTTATGCCCAGATTCGAACTTACACAATAGCCAAGTTTCCCCCTCCACGATTGTGTGATTGCATTTTGGGTGCCTGCCAATGCATCCGTTTGTGTCCCACGGATGTGTCCCATGGATGACTGCAAAGTAGGGTTAGCACCCTATCATCTTCATTTAACGACCCCATAATCCCTTGCGGGGTGGAGTCTGGGCAACGGAATGGAGCTAGGGAAGTGGTTTTTTTTATTGGCCGGATGCCCTTCCTGTTGCCGACGCGGAGTTTTGTTCAGCAGATATATTCTCAGCGTGCCCAGAGAGAGAAATATCTGCCTCTACCCAGGATCGAACTCGCAGCCTCCTGATTGTGTGAGGCGAGAGCCGCACCTCTAGGCCACCGCACCGCTCCTTCTGTTTGCACACTATATATACTATATAATCAACTCCTTATAGATATACTTTATACATTACATATACTACATAATGTTTTTTATACTGTATATATAATTCCATCCAAAACGCTCCCACCATCACTGACAAGGAAAGCCTCCTCCCTTCTAATCCTGATGATGTTACCTAGTTGGGTCATGAAACGTCTGCAAGCAAACCGACAAGCTCAGAGATCACCAAGGACCCCACAGTCCTCCTCCTCTTTCTCTTCCTCCTCCTCCTCTTTTCCGCTAAGCCCCCTTCCTCAAGGACCCCACAGATCAGGGGTGAAATGCTCCCGGTTCGGACCGGATCGCCCGATCCGGTAGCGATAGCGGAGGATGGTTTGGAGAACCGGTGGCAAAAATCCCTGCGCTCCGCCCCCTCACACCCAGCTGAGCCTCACGATCATCAGAGGCTTTTTTTTTTTACTTTTCAAAGCATTTTTTCTACAACCTCTTCCGACGAAAAAATGCTTTTAAAAGTTAAAAAAAAAAAAACCTCTGATGATCGCGCGGCTCAGCTGGGATCGTCAGAGGCTTTTCAAAGCATTTTTTTCTGCAACCTCTTCGGCCGAAGAGGTGGTAAAAAAAATGCTTTGAAAAGTCTCTGACGATCCCAACTGAGTTGCCTGATCGGCAGAGAGGCATTTTTTAAAAAGCCTCTCCGATGATCCCAACTGAGTTGCCTGATCGGCAGAGAGGCATTTTTTTAAAAGCCTCTCCGACGATCCCAACTGAGTTGCCTGATCGGCAGAGAGGCATTTTTTTAAAAGCCTCTCCGACGATCCCAACTGAGTTGCCTGATCGGCAGAGAGGCATTTTTTAAAAAGCCTCTCCGACGATCCCAACTGAGTTGCCTGATCGGCAGAGAGGCATTTTTTAAAAAGCCTCTCCGACGATCCCAACTGAGTTGCCTGATCGGCAGAGAGGCATTTTTTTAAAAGCCTCTCCGACGATCCCAGCTGAGTTGCCTGATCGGCAGAGAGGCATTTTTTTAAAAGCCTCTCTTGACGATCCCAGCTGAGTTGCCTGATCGGCAGAGAGGCATTTTTTAAAAAGCCTCTCTTGACGATCCCAACTGAGTTGCCTGATCGGCAGAGGCTTTTCAAAGCATTAGAAAAAAAATGCTTGGAAAAGTTAAAAAAAAACAAAACCGTTGGCCACGCCCACCCAGTCACATTACCCACCACCAAGCCACGCCCACAGAACCGGTAGTAACAAATTTTACATTTCACCCCTGCCACAGATACAAGAACAGCTAAGCCCTCTGATCGACGGGAAAGATCAGGAGACGCCATCTCATGGTGCTGGCCTACCCTGGAGTTGTTTGCAAGATATTGCCGGAACGGAAAGCTCCGGAAATGTCCTTTTGCGTGTCTCCAAAAACTGGTAACCAGCTTCGCCTCCCAATCCAAGTTAGAAAGAGGATCAAAAAAAAAAACCCTGGGGAGAATCCGCCTTTAATCCACTTGCTGATCAGAGTGGAGCTAAAGTACCCGGAGAGCCACTTTACCGGATACTTAAGTCCTTTTCCTTTGCAGGAAACCTGGCTAATAAATCTCGGGGACCATCTGGCTTTTTTTTTGGAGGACTTTGACGGGTCTGGTCCTCTTGGCTATCATGTGAGAAGACAGAGGAAAGGATGGTGGGGGGTGTGGATTGAAGCAGATCTCTCGATGGGATCACGGTGGATTTGCGGAGTTGATGTCAGATCCTCTCCTGGTCCTTACCTGTTTGGGGTTCAACACTCGGATGATCTGAGTGATGGGGGGCCCTCCCTGGCTTGGGACTGTAGAGCTGCTGGGGGCCGAAAGGTCCACCTGGAAGGACTGGAAGGAGGAGGAGAAAAAGGACAAGCCACATGGGAGACGATGGGGTGGGGGTGGGGAGAGGAAGTAGAGATGGAGAGGATGTTATCTTATTCAGAAATAAAGGAAGTATTTAATATTACACATCGTCCCTGCAGCCAGATTGGCGTTCGCCCAATATTGGAAAACTGACCAACTGCCAATTGATAATCCCCCCAAAAATCTATAATTGTGCGGAAATGGACAAACTAACGTTTGAAATGAAGGACAAGATAGACTCAAAGTGTTCTATAGCGTGGAATAGGTGGTGTGATTGCATGACGCGCAGAAATGAGAGCAAATGAAAACTTTTTTATGATAATAATTATCATACTGCCCAGAGTCCCTTGGGAGTTGGGCAGCATAGAAATATGATAAATAAATTAAATTAAATTATTAAATTAAATTATTAAATTAAATTAATTAAATTTAATTTAAAAATTAAATTAAATTAAATTAAATTATTAAATTAATTAAATTAAATTAATTAAATTAATAAATTAAATTAAATTAAATTAAATTAAATTAAATTAACAAATATGCACCGTTAATAAGATAATGGACCTGTGACCCAAAGTCACTTTTTCTTTTTAATGTATTGTCGTTTGTATTAATATATATATATATATATCTTGTATATACGTAGTATAGTATTTTACTTTTATATGTTTAATAAAGTTTTGTTTTTAAAACCAAAAAAAAAAGAAATGGAGAGGAAGACAAGAGAGAGAATGAAAGGGAGGAAGAAGAGAAGGAGGAGAAGAGGGAGAGGCGAAGGAGGGAAGAAAAGGGAGAGAAGAAGCGAAGGAGACGAGAAGAAGTAGAGGACGAAGGGGAGGGGGAAAAAAGAAGGATGAGCGGGAAGAGAGGAGGAATTGAAGGAGGAAGAAAAGAGCAGAGAGGTGAAGGAAAAGATGGAAGAAGAGGAAAAGGCAGAGGAGAAGGAGAGGATGAGGTGAAGAGAGAGGGAGGAGGAAGCAGAGGAAGAGAAGGAGAGATTTGGAGGGAAGGGGAAAAAAAAGAAGAGGCGGAGGAGGAGAGGGAGGAGAAGGCAGTTGTAAGTGAACAGAAAATGCTCAAGATGAGAATCACGGTGAGACCCAAATCTAACCAACAAAAAAAACCCCATGTTTCTTTCTTCCTCCTCCTTTTCTTCTTCTCGTTCTTCCTCTTCCTCCCCGATTTCCCCTCCTCCTCCTATTGAAAAAAAGAAAAAAAAACCCATCCTATGGAGCCCAACTCAGGGCATCTCACCTTGGGCACAGCCACCTGCATGGAGAAGTTCTCCACGTCTCCAGAATTGGTGTTGGTCACCGTGGTCGTGATCAGCAGCAACGCGGGTTCCCCCGGAGTCCGGCTCATCGAAAACTCCACCAGCAACCCGTTCTGTTTGTAAACCTCCATGCGGGAGGGAACGGCCTCTGCGGAAAACACGGTTAGTTTAAAAAAAAAACAAAACCCGTTGCTCTTATCCAAAGAGATGAATTTTGGGACTTGCCCCGCCGTGAGTCGTAAGTCGCTTGTTTCAATAACTTCCAACGGTCACTAAACGAAAGGACTACCTGCAATTGTGTCGTTCCGAAAGGATCTTCTCCCGACCTTCCATTTTAACCTCCCGGATGTCTCCTGTCGCTGCTGTTTGATGGGATCAAAATTCTCGTTTTCCTGAGTTTTCATCTCACAATTCATCAAATTGTGCAGGAAATCCCTTCTCTCTAGAGTGCAGTTTTGTTGTGACTCCGACCCCCGAGGCCAACTTATTGGAGGGAGAAGGCCCCGATCATGAAGGAGAGGAGTTGGCCAGGCCTCCCTCTCCAGGACTCTCCTCTCTGGCAATGCCTCAGGTGTCTCCCGAAGGAGAAGAGATTGGCCAGGAGCCAGGTATCTCCTCACAGTCGGACAGTGATGGAGATAAGTCTTGGCTGGATCCACACCAGCGTCGGAGAGACAGGCGCATGCAGCAGAAAAGGAGGCGTGCCAGAGTTTAAGCTGAGTCACTGGACCACACCCCACAGGGGATAAAAGGGGGTGAGGTGGCCATTCAGACTCTGTGACGGACAAAACAAACTACTAGCGAGTCACATTGTATCTTTGGAAACAACGTTATCTGCCTTGGATTTAATACGGACTGGACTTGACAATTCTTGAACTGTGTGTATCTTGTTTGGGTTTATCTGTCGGAGGAACAACCCCTCCCTCTATGAGTAAAGTTCTTGGCAAGCGGCTACTGAGTTGTTGCCAATCCTCTTATCGAAAGAATTTGTTGTCTGCCAGTTTTGTTTAACCCCTGGCTATCTGTTTGTGTGCGTGTGTGAGACGGGGACAGAACAAGTTTGGCGTCAGAAGTAAAGATGAGAAGGCTTTCATACAATCACACGAATTACCGTCCTTGACTTACGACGGTAGTCCCCGACTTACGACTTGGTGACCATCCAAAATTAGATAGACAAAAAAGGGATTTATGACCACAATATCCCGATGGTCCAAATTCAGAGGCTTGGCAACTTGACTCATATTTATGACCGTCGCCGCGTCCCAGCGTCATGTGATTCGCTTTTGCGACCTTCTAACCAGCAAACTCAACGGGGAAGCCAGATTCGCGTAACAATTCTGTGTTACAAAACTTGTCGACTGCAGGGATTCACCGAACAACGGACAGGTGGTACAATGGGGTGGAACTCACTGAACAACTGTCTCGCTTGGCGACAGAAATGTTGGGCTCCATTGTGGTCATAAATCGAGGACTAGCTGAATAGGTTATCGAACCAAGAGGTTCAACAGTTGTAAACGGGAAGGAACCAGAGGTGGGATTCAACCGGTTCAGACCGGTTCAGGCGAACTGCTTGTTAAAATTCTGCCCAGTTCGGCGAACTGGCTAATCCCACCACTGGCCGACCCCACCCCTGCCTGTTTTTCAGGCCGTTTTTCAGCCATTTTCGGGCCGTTTTTTCAAAAACTGGGCGGGGCCAGCCAGTGGTGGGATTAATCCGAACCAGTCAGAATTGCTGAATCTTAACCTCTTTGAGGCGAGTGGCTGGGAGGCAGGGCTGGGTGTGATGAGTGATGTTGAGTTGGCCACACCCACCCAGTCACATAATCACCCGGCCACGCCTACCCAGCCAGACAACCGGTGGTTAAATTATTTAAAATCCCAATTTAAATCCCACCACTGGAAGGAACCTTTGGCTGAATAGATCCCTCTCATTCTACCTGAAGGCTTTAGATCTTGAAGCAAGCCGAGAAGAGATCCTGTCCCCGCATGGGCTGGATTTGACGGAGCAGGAGATGTATCTACAGGGTCTCCAAGGAGGTCCAAGAGATCGAAGACCTAGATAGAGAAAGACAAGAAGAAGTTGGAAGGGATCTTAAAGGTCAACTAGTCCAACCCTCTGCTCAAGCAGGAGACTCTACACCATTCCGGATAAATGGCTGTCCAATCTCTTCCTAGAAAACTCCCTTGTTGGCGATGAACAGTCTTTCCTTGAGAAGGCCAAAGAGGAAATAATGTTAATTTCTGAGCAAACCACGATTCGTGGTCAGGATTTGTGACAGTTGTTCTGGTGGGGGAGAGGGTGGAATCACAGCTTTTTGGTGGCCTCAAAATCCACTACTTCTGCTGGATGCGTAGAAGAAAAAGAACTGGGTCGAACAGGGTTTCCCAAAACCTTGGTAACTTTTAAGAAGTGCGGACTTCAACTCCCAGAATTCCCCATACTGGCTGAGGAATTCTGGGAGTTGAAGTCCACCCCGTTTGCTCCGGTCAACCAAGGAAGAGATTTTGTTAAAAGCATATTTAGCAAAGGCTCCAAACCGCAGCTCTTTAGGTAGTCCTCGACTTACAACTACAACTGAGTTCCAAAATGTCTGTCGTTAAGTGAGACATGTTGAGTTTTCCCCCATTTTACGACCTTTGGTGCCACCGTGGCTAAGTGAATCACTGGGGTCGATAAGTTAGTAACATGGTAGTTAAGTGAATCTGACTTTATTATTATTATTATTATTTATTTAATTTATATACCACCCTACTCCCGAAGGACTCAGGGCAGTGAACAGCCAAACAGTAAAAATACATAGATACAAAATTTAAAAACAAAGTAAAATCGAATTAAACAAATTTGGCCCAAACAAATTAAAACTCCAATCATTTAAAAAACCAATTAAAATTTGCGTAATTTTTTGCTTGTCACTGATTTCTGACTTTGCTTGTCAGAAGGTCGCAAAAGGGGATCATGTGACCCTGGGACACTGCGACCGTCATAACTACGAGTCACCTGACTTGGGGGGGTGCTACAACCGTCGTGTCAAAAACGGTCGTAAGTCACTTTTTTCCTTGCCGTCGTAACTTGGAACCGTCACTAAATGAACTGATGTAAGTCGAGGACTGTCTGTATCTTCCTGGTTGTACTTTACAAAAGGACTTCAATTTAATTTTGGCTGGTAATCAAGAGGCAAGAGAAATGGGGTTTAAAATTAAATCCCTTCTACCAATAATCAGATTTATACTGTATTAAGCGGCTTTTAAGGATTTGATGGCCTCTGCTGCCCCCTACTGCCCAAAATTAGGCACTGCATCTCCCACCTGGTTAGGTTCTGGGGGTTTTGGATCGGTGGATGGCTCCCCCTGCAGGACGATTGGGGTAACAATCTCATTTCCATTCTGGTCTGTTTCCTGGTTTTCCTTGCCATCCCCAAATTTCTCCACCACCGGCATCTTTTCCAGTATGGAGGCTCTGGAAAAGGAAGGAAAAACAGAATGCCTGAAAAAAATGTCATTTTTTTCAGCCCGCAAGGCACCGGGGGGGGGGGGAGGATAGTGCAAACAAATGAGTTGAATGGCAGAATAACAGCTGAGAGGGACCCTAGAGGTCTTCTAGTCCAGCCCGCTGCTGGAGGTTTGATTCTAGATCTTTCTTTGCTGACATCAATATGAACCTTTGGTGCGATGTTTCCCAACCTTGGCAGCTTTAAGATGGGTTGGACTTCAACTCCCAGAATTCCCTAGCCCAAGCAAAATTCCATGAGGCAAAAGAATACTCTGTGCTGACTGTGGAATTCTGGGAGTTGAAGTCCACCAGGCTTAAAGTTGCCACGATTGGAGACCCACTGCTCTATAACAGTTGGGTACTTTAAGATGGGTTGGACTTCAACTCCCAGAATTCCCCAGCCCAAGCAAAATTCCATGAGGTAAAAGAATACTCTTTGCTGACTGTGGAATTCTGGGAGTTGAAGTACACCAGGCTTGAGGCCCTTGCTCTAGAGCAGTGTTTCTCAACCTTTGGTACTTTTAAGATGGGTGGACTTCAACTCCCAGAATTCTCCAGCCAGTATTTGTGGACTTCAACTCCCAGAATTCTCCAGCCGAAGCAAAATTCCATGAGGCAAAAGAATACTCTGTGCTGACCGTGGAATTCTGGGAGTTGAAGTCCACCAGGCTTAAAGTTGCCAAGGTTATATAACTGTTGTCTATAACAGTTGGGTACTTTAAGATGGGTGGACTTCAACTCCCAGAATTCCCCCAGCCGAAGCAAATTCCATGAGGCCAAAAAAAAAATACTTTAGAACAGTGTTTCTCAAAGTTGGGTACTTTAAGATGGGTGGACTTCAACTCCCAGAATTCCCCAGCCGAAGCAAATTCCATGAGGCCAAAAAAAAATACTTTAGAACAGTGTTTCTCAAAGTTGGGTACTTTAAGATGGGTGGACTTCAACTCCCAGAATTCCCTAGCCGAAGCAAATTCCAGGAGGCAAAAGAATACTCTTTGCTGGCTGGGGAATTCTGGGAGTTGAAGTCCACCAGGCTTGAGGCCCTTGCTCTAGAGCAGTGTTTCCCAAACTTGACCCTTTGAAGATGTATGGACTTCAACTCCCAGAATTCTCCAGCAAGTATTTGTGGACTTCAACTCCCAGAATTCTCCAGCCTGCCTTACACAGCTGGGGAATTCTGGGAGTTGAAGTCCACCCATCTTGAAGTAAACCGAAGAATTCTAGTCTTACTCAAATTCAAAGCATTCGCAGAAAAATTAAATTTCCCCGCTGATTTCAACGGAAGGGATCCATCTTTTTTAAACCGGGAATTCAGTCTTTTGAACGAGAACCGTCTTTTTGAAACTGAGTCCAATGCCTGCGAAGCCGAGGGGGTTTCTGGGAGTTGAAGTCCACACATTTTTCTCAACTTTGCCAAGGTTGAGAAACCCTGAACTAAACAAAATGGAACAAAACCCAGAATGTAAAATCAAGTAAAACATTTTAAAAAACCCATTCTTTATCGACTATATTACAAACTGCAATCCAGCAGACTCTTTTCCATGGACCCCCCCGGTTGAGGTCGGGAGCTACACCGAGGGTTTGAGGGAATTGGGCTGATTTAAAAACGATCAAGTTTCTCGTCCTCATTGTGTCTGCTGCTTTGGTTCGGCAGGGATTTCAGGACAGAAGAGGGTAAAGGGATCAGGAAGAAATGAAATAAGACTTAATGACGTAAAACTATCAAAGCCCTCTTTTCCTTTTACGCATGCACACAGGTTTCCACCCAACACCCCCCCCCCCGACAATAAGGACTAGTAACTTAGAGATTTGTTTGACCCTGCGCTAAGAATCATTAGATGTGGAGCAGAGACGGGATTCTCATAGTGTTACAACCGGTTCGCCCAGCACCGGAAATGTGAGCACACATGTGCTATCCGTGCATGCGTGCGACGTCAAACAACACGGCAATTCATGTGTGTACACCGTCCACACATGCGTGCAACATCAAACAACACGGCAATTCGCTCGTGCGTGCCATGCGCACATGCATGCAGCGTCCAAAACACAGTGATATAGGACGGGATTGTGCCTGGTCGAGTGGGCAGGCCCACCCACAGGTCGCCCCTACTGATTCGCCCGAACCGGCTGAATACCATCTCTGACGTGGAGCTCTGAGCTTTTGATGGACTAGACCGGCTAACAAGTACCTGAGGTGATCGTATTTTCGGAAAAGGGTGTTGTATTCCACGGCTCTCTGTTGTAGTTCCACATCATGGCAGCTACAATAAATCGAAACCAAACTCCGAATCCGGCTTTGAATTGGAGAAGAGGAGAGGGGGAAAAAAAATGAGAGAAAAGGAACATACTATCTCATTTCTATTCCTTTTGATACGTCATCTCCTAAAGGCCTACTTCCCGGCAGTTTGCAGGTAGTCCTCGACTTACGACCACAATTGAAAACTGGTATTTTGGTCACTAAGTGATGTGGTCATTAAGTGGGCGAGCACATGACCAATTTTTACAACCCTTGATAGCGTGGTCGTTAAGCGAATCCGGCTTCCCTCGCTTGTCTGGGAAAGTGACAAATTGCAGTCATGTGACCGCAGGACATTGTAACCGTCGTAAAGGAGAGTCAGTTACCAAGCAGCTGAAATACAGTCATGTGACCGTGGGTGTGGGGATGTATGCAGCCATTGGAATGCCAAAAAACAGGTCTTAAATAAACTTTGAGGAGTTCCGTTGTAACTTTGAACGATTACCAGTCATAAGTCAAGGACTGCCTGTATCTATCAGGGTCTGTTATTTTCCGGGAAAAGGCAAATTTCATCACAACTTTAAACCCACTTCAAAACGTGGTTTTTAACCAGCCCCCAATTTTCAATTCACAATGCAGTTCTCTGCAAGCGTTATAGTTTTTGGCTTTGAGTCCTATAATCCCCTGCTAGCTGGGGATTATGGGAGTTCAGGGTTTCCCATTCTGAGCCAGAAAAGGTGGACAACGGTATGGTAAAATGTTTTATCCCACTGACAGACGGGAAGCTGACGCTGCAGTTCCGCCAGCTGCCCACATGGTGGCGCTCTCACTTGAGAGAAAGGGTGTTATGTTGCCCTCTAGTGTCTGAGGAGAGAAAACTCACAATTTCTGGCCCAGGATGAAAATATTGTACAGGTAGTCCTTGATTTATGAACAGTCACTCAGCGACCATTCGATTTTTATCAACGGACTTCCCAAACGGTACTTAATACCCACCACCACAATTGTGATGGTTACTTAAGGACCAGGTCAGTCACTTAACAACTTCAGTGCTCACTTCATGACAGTCGCAAAAGGTCATAAAATCAGGTCGGACATGTGGGCGACCCATTTTACGACCGTCACAACTTACAACCACAATAAGCAGATTCCATTAAGTGAGCCATCACGTGAGCACATAACAATGAACCCACAAAACTGCACACTGGGTTTGATTGGACGATGCATTTTACCAAAAAAAACCCAAAGAACACGTCTGCTTGTTCGGAATCAATGATAGGATAATTTTTTTCCCACGCTCACTTAATGTCGGCGTCCTGGAGGCGCGTCCCGAGCTTCATGAGGGCGGTGAGGGCGTAGGCCCGGGTGGAGGGCAGGGACAGATGTGACTGGAGGACACGTTCCAGCAAGCTCAGCATGTCCTCGGCGTCCACCTGAGAAGATAAAAAATGAGGACACCGCGCGACGAAGATCAACAGCTACTAAGATTGTCGGCCGAGCAGGCCCAAAAACAACCAGGGAAATAATTGAAGCCTGGGAAACAGGCCCCTCGTGAGTCAACAGGAGTGCTGATTTACCCCGAGTTTATCAAGTACTTAGGAGCAGGGGTGGGATTCTGCCAGTTCGGGCAAACCGGTAGCTCCAATGATCAGCTGGGTGCGAACCGGTTTGTCCAAACGATCAGATAGGCCCAGCCGCCTGCCAGCACTATTTTCCTACCTTCTCTGCTGATTCGTGCGGTAGAGCAGATTGCCGCGCGAATCAGCTGTGTTACTCCTCCGAAGAAACCAGGAAGTGAAGATTTCTTCAAACTGCGCATGCGTGTTCAGCGTGCGTGCATGCGCAAATCGCACAATCACCAAACCGGTTGTTAAACCGGAAGGATCACACCACTGCTTAGGAGGGAGGGCTTGTCAACACAAGGAAACAATAGGCAACGACGTACTAGCCGGCCATCAACACCAACACAATCTACACACAACAGGCACCATATAAATACCACACACAGAACAGCCCAAAATTCCCTGAGGATGGGCTCCGGCACGCCACGTCCGAAAGCTCGGAAGACAAAACTTCTGGACCCGGTAACTGACCCAGGTTAGATCCGGCAACATTATCCTGGGACACTTATATCCGCCTTCATTGCTGAGGATCAACTTCCCCATCGCGGACCTTGTTGTGGCCCGCCGGCAGCCAGCAGAGCTGGCAGCAGAGTCGGACAGTGAGGAGGTTGGGAAGAAATATGGGCTAGTTCTGGGGGCTAGGGAAAGCTCGGATGAGGGCTCTGCGTCGGAGGCAGAGAGGGAGCTAGACAGCAGTGAGGCAGAGGAACAGTTGGAGCCTGTTCCCAGTGCACGCATGCGCAGAGCTGCCAGAAGACAAGAACAACTCAGAAAGCAACCTGGGAGTAAAGCCACACCTTGGCGGTGATTGGCCCCTCCCAGAGGAAACAATAGAGGAGCGAACGGGGAGAGGGAACAATTTGTTCGTTCCGTGACTCTGAGAGACTCTGTGCCAAGTTTGGCCTTGTACTGCGTTTGGAAACTAGTTACGTGGCAGCTTGCCAAGCGAGATAAGGTCTGTGTTGATAAGTATTCCTTTGAAAAACTGCTTGGACAGGCCTTGCTGACTGTGAATGAAAGGATTTCACAGTCGTGTAAATAAAAGAGGTTTTGTCGAGACCAAGACTCTGCTTCCTGCTTTTTAAGGGAGCCTAGCTCAGAACAGATCTTCCCGGATGGATTTCGGAGACCTTACCTGCTGCGGCTCCACCTCATCGCAATTCCCGTCGAGAAGGAAGTGTCCGTATTCGCCAAGGCACCAGGTGGCCACTTGGACCAAGGGTTGCTGCGATGGGACACAAACAAAGTGCTAATACACCACATCCAGGTAGTCCCCGATTTACGACCGTTCGTTTAGCTCAAAAAAGTGACTTGTCACGAACCAGTCCTTGCACTTATGACCGTAACAGTGTCCCTGCAGCCATGTGATTGCAACCTGGTGTGTATTTGTGGCGTCCCGTGGTTTACGTGGTCATCTTTTTCACTTAACGACCATGTGATTTTCACTTAATGAAACTTAATTTTCACTTAATTTTCATCTTTTTCACTTAATGACCATGTGATTTTCTTAACGACAATGGTGAAAAGGTCATAAAATTGGATGTGTTCACATGTTAGACCCTGCTAGTGATGGTTGTAAGTTAAGACAGCCATAAAATGGGTCACCTGCACGACATATCCGATTTGATGACCTTTTTTGCGACTGTCATTAAGTGACTGTTGTGGTTGTTAAATGACTGCTATGGTCTTTTAGCGACCACGGTGGTCGTTATTCGAAGCAGGGTGTAAGTATCCTGGGGAGCTCTGTTGTTAACATTAAACAATCGCTAAGCGACGACTCATAAATCCTGGATTATCTATATAATATTTACTTTTCATCCTGGGCCAAAAACTGAGTGGTGCGGTGGCCTAGAGGTGGAGATCTCGCCTCACAATCAGGAGGATGTGAGTTCGATCCTAGGTAGAGAAATCTCTCTCTCGGGATACAATGAGTATATGTCTGCTAAACAAAACTCCACATTGGCAACAGGAAAGGCATCCGGCCAGTAAACACTCAGCTCCATTCAGTTGCCCAGACTCCACCCCGCAAGAGATTATGGAGCCGTTAAAAGAAGATGATCCTGGGCCGAAACATGTTGAGTTTTCTCTCCTCTGACACTAGAGGGCGCCATAACCCACTTTCTCTCAGGCTGAAACACCACTGTGTGGTCAACGGGTGGAACTGCAGCTTCAGTTTTGCAGCTTTCAGAGGGATAACCCCCTTTTTGAGATGCGATATATTGTTCTTAGGCTGGTTTAGGGTTCAACTTCGGCCCCCCGACTTCCCACGATAGATCAGGAATGTGCTAATCCCTCCCCCCCTTTCTGTTCTAAATGATCCCCACCACAATCGGTGGGATCTGCTCCGTGCAAGGCCTGCTGAGGTCTGCAACTTAATGTTCCCTCTGCTTCATGCAAAACCCTCAACGTAATTTTTTAAGGCCGGAGAAAATGCCTAATATTTCTCTACCGATTCTGAATGTGCCACACGTAAGCAAAACCAGAAGAGAGCCATTGTCTGAGTCTGCATCTTTGCAAGCAATTAAATCTGGAGCTTTAAAGCCCTTCGTAAAATATTGATATCCTGAGCTCCTTTTATCCTGCAGCAGGGGGCACCTGAGGTCAAATAAGTCAAAATGGCAGCCGGAAGCACACGATTCAGCCCATATTCACCGCTTCAATCTCCTTTCCTGGACTGAACCGTTAACTGAAAACTAGAGCGGTGAATATGTCAATCACCATGATTCTAACCAAAATATTAATAATACCAATGCCGATATCAAAATATCAAAACCATTCGTTTAGTGACCATTCAAAGTTACGGCAGCACTGGAAAAAGTGACTTATGACTTAGGATTCAGCCGGTTTGGACCGGTTTGGATGCTAATTTTACATCTGGTTCGCTGAACCAGATGCTGCAATGACTGGCTGGCTCCGCCCAACAAACCCTGCCCTTCCAGGAGTCTCCACACGGCCCGTTTGGGATGCCAGGAAAGTGCAAGGCCCACGCGGAGGCTCGGGGAGGGTGAAAAAAGGGCCTATCAGAAATTCGGAAAGGAAGTCCAGAGGGCCTCCGCAGCCTCGGGATGCCGTTTTTGTCCTCCCTGAGGCTCAAGGAAAGCCTCCGGAGCTTGGGGAGGGCAAAAATGCCTCCCACCCCGCCGTGGTACAGGAGGCTGAGTAGGCCACGCCCGCTATGGCCACACCCACCCAGCAACTGGGCAGAGAACCGGTTGCTAAAATTTTCGAATCCCACCCCTGCTTATGACCGTTTTTAACAACGACGCCGGAGCACGCCATGGTCACGTGATCAAAAATTGAGACATTTGGCCATTGACTCATATTTATGACAGGCGCTATGTCCCGTGATCCCCTTTGGCGACTCTTCGGATGAGCTACGCCAATGGGGGAGCCCGATTGCCTTAACGACCGAGCAAATAATTTAATCATGGCTACAATTCACTTGGCAGCTGTGGCAAGAAAGGGCAGAAAACAGGGCCAATCTCATTTCACAATGGTCTCGCTGAGCAACAGGAATTTGGGGCCCAATTGTGGTCGTAAGTCGAAGACTAACTGTAGTCATTCTTTTTTTTTTTTCCTCATAAATCTTGGCTGCTGGATCCGTTTAGGCCAGGGGTGTCAAACTGGATCAGCACTGTAGTTGTTGTCTGTGGGCTGGCCAGGTGGGGCAGATTGGATGGACGCCTCCTGCAGCACCCTACTGGCCAAAAATGGGGTACGGGGTACTGTGGGCGACCCCCCCCCCCGTTGCTCCATTTTCAGCCTTCACAGCTTCCTGCAGCATCCTGCTGGCCAAAACGTGCACCGTTGAGGCTGAAAATGGGGCCCGGGGGGGGGGCACCCGTGGTCTCACCGTACCCCATTTTAGCCATCCAGGTGGTACTGAAGGCCATCCAGGCAGGGGTGAAATGCTCCTGGTTCGGACCGGATCTTCCGATCCGGTAGCAATGGCGGTGGGTGGTTCGGAGAAGCGGTAGCAAAAATCCCTGGCCCCCCACCCCCCGCCCAGCTGAGCCGCGCAATCATCAGAGTTTTTTTTTTATTATTATTTTTAAAAGCATTTTTTCTACAACCTCTTCAGCCGAAAAAATGCTTTTAAAAGGAAAAAAAAAAAGCCTCTGACGATCAGGCAACTCAGCTGGGATCGTCAGAGGCTTTTAAAAGAAAAAAAAAGCCTCTGACGATCAGGCACTCATCTGGGATCGTCAGAGGCTTTTAAAAGCATTTTTTCTACAGCCTCTTCAGCCAAAAAAATGCTTTTAAAAGGGAAAAAAAAGCCTCTGACGATCAGGCAACTCAGCTGGGATCATCAGAGGCTTTTAAAAGAAAAAAAAAAGCCTCTGACGATCAGCCGAAGAAGTGGTACAAAAAATGGTTTTAAAAGTTTTTTTAAAAAAAGTTGGCCACACCCATCCAGTTACATTACCACCGCCCCCCCCCCCACCAAGCCACGGCCACAGAACCGGTAGTAACAAATTTTACATTTCACCACTGCATCCAGTCTGAAAACGGGCCCACGGGCCCCGTTTTCGCTAGCAGAGCCATTGCAGGCCAGTCTTTTACTGTTTCCAAGCCAGCCCCGCGGGCCAGATCTGGCCTGCCAGCGTTGAGTTTAACACACCTAGTTTAGGCCTTAGGATCGTGATGGCGAACCTATGGCACACGTGCCAGAAGTGGCACGCGGAACCATCTCTCCGGGCACGCCAGCCGTTGCCCATTGCTCTTCCGGTTTGTGGTGCGCATTAGTGGTGGGGTTCTACCGGTTTGGTCCGGTTCGGCAGTGCGGATTGCCATGTCTCAGCTGTTCCATAATACACTACATTTGCATGAAGCGAACCGGTGGTAACACGGGTTGAAACCCACCACTGGTGCACATACACGCCAGGGAACTGTTCTTCCGGTTTCCGGCGCTCCCCGCGCGCATGCGTGCTCCCGTTTAGGCACTTGGTGCCAAAAAGATTTGCCCACACTGCCTTAGGACATCATGCAAATGCTGAAATAGACACATACCTGAGAGATATCTTGGCTCACTGCACCGTACAGCTGATGCACAGCATAACTATGAAGCTCCTTTGCACCTCCAATCAGGTGGATGAGGTTGGGGACGGCGTCATCCCGGATGTAGGAGCCCGCCTGCCGAAGAGGAACCGGGAAGGTGACGTTTGTACTCCGTTGACGGGATCCTCTTCGCTTACTCTGACTTTACTCACTCTTACCCCCCCCCCAGAAGGAGCGAAAGGAAGATCCATAAGAAAATCTCCCCTGCCTGCACTACCAAACGCAATCTCTAGAGGGCAGCAGCAGATTAAGGTTTTCGGCGTCTCTCTGCTGCCACCTAGTGGACACCAAGGGATCCTATCACCAATCCTCGCTCTCACCATAATCAGAATCTGGAGAATGGTATCGATGTGCCACCGTTTGTTGGGCGCGAAACTATGGAAGGGAGTCAAAAGGTAGAAGAGAGCTCGTAAGATTCGTACAGAGCTGGATATGTTCGTCCTGCTCTCTATCGCCCTCTTGCGGGCAATGGTGGAATGACTCACTTCTCGGCAGCCAGGAACAATCCGGAAGCGCACTCCGACTTCAGATCCGGTGTGCTGCTTTCCATGAAGGCCAGCAATTCCTTCGTGGTTGTGCGAATGTTAGTGTGGTTGATCAGGGATAAACTCAGCTGGAGGGCTCTCCTACAGAGAGAGAAAAAATAATCAGAAATACATTTTTCTATTTATCAAAATTAGAACATTCTCCCATCTTCGGGCCTTCAGCTCACCTCTTCACCGTCGAGTCGGGATCCGTCAGACAACCGAGGATGGTGGATCGGTGCCTCTGGACAGGGTTGTTTTCCGTTTGCAACAATTTCTGGAGCGACGTGAGGGCGACGTATCTAAACATCCCATCGATTAAAATATTAATTGGATCCAGCGGAATTCAGTCTTGTCTGCTCTGCTGCCCCCTGGGGGAATTCTGGGTGAAAAATGCCCATTTAGGCTAAAATGGATTTGCTTAACAACCGTGGTGTTTGCTTAACGACAGCCATATGTCAGGTTTCGAGGTCGTCTCAAATAAATTGCATTTCAAACAAAGTCTTTGAAGAAAACTCCCATTTATTCAGCACGACATTCAAAGTCCGACTCATTGTAGCCAACACTGACTTCCAGACCCAAAACCCTCCCTTTCCGTTCCCCACTCCCCTGCACTCATTGGCCATCTTCCAAGTCACTCTACCCCTATCTACTGCTCCAACTCAAAGGAATTTCCCCCTTCCCATCGCATCTCCTAGGGAATATTATCTCCAGGGAAAATAAGTAAGTGAAAAGTCAAACGTCCCTTTCCAGACGCCTCCGCTCCTCCTTCTTATGTCAGCACTAGAGTAAAGGCAGCTTGAAGTGCTGACACCATATTTGTTTAAATAACGAGCAAAGTCAGCAGCGGGAACCAGATTTGCTTAATGACTGTGTGACTCACTTAACGACGAGGGGAAAAAAGGGTTCTCAAATGAGGCGCAGCTCAATTGACTTGCCTGGCTTAGCGATGGAAACCCAGGTCCCGATTGTCGTTGTAAGTCGAGGACTATCTGGACTTTGTCCGCATGACAAAAGGGGTGGGGCTTCAGATAGTCCCACCCACTCTTTCAAAAGCAAAATGACTGTTTACTTTGTTTAATGTTTAATTCTAACAATGTTTAATTTTTATTTTATTAGGTTCCCATAACATAGGAAACTGTGTTTTGTTAACTCAAGGATCTAAAGTGCTGAGTAAACGAGCCACTGTGGGTTTTTCTCTTTTGCCTAATCTTCCTTTCTCCCTTCTTTCCTTCGCCTCCTCTCCTTCCTTCCTAACTCCCTTATTTCTTTCCTTCCTTTCCACCCTCCATCCATTTCCTTGTTTCCTTCCTTCCTTTCCTTCCTTCCTTCCCTCTCTCCCTCCCTTTCTTGTTTCCTTCCTTCTTTCTCCTTCCCTCTCTCCCTTTCCTTTCTAAATTCCTTGCTTTCTTTCTTTACTCCCTCCCTCTACTCCCTCCCTTTCTTCTTTCCTTCCTTCCTCCTCCCCCCTCCCTCCCTCTCCTTCCTTCCTTCTCTGCCTTCTTCACTCACATTCTTCCTTCCTTCCTTCCCTCCCTCCATTTCCTTGTTTCCTTCCTTCCCTCCCTTTCTTCCTAACTCCATTCCTTCCTCCCTCCCTCCCTCTCCCTCCCTTTCTTTCCTTCCTTCTCCTTCTCCTCCCCTCCCTCTCTTCCCTTCCTAAATTCCTTGTTTTCTTTCTTCCCTCCCTCTATTTCCTCCCTTTCTTCTTTCCTTCCTTCCTTCCTCCTCCTTCCCTCTCCTTCCTTCCTTCTCTGCCTTCTTCACTCACATTCTTCCTTTCTTCCATCTCTGACTTCTTCATTCCCACCTTCCTTCCTTCCTTCTCTGCCTTCTTCACTCACATTCTTCCTTCCCTTCCTTCCTTGTCTTCCTTCTTCACTCACATTCTTCCTTCCTTTTCTCCTTCCTTCCTTCCTTCCTTCCTTCTCTGCCTTCTTCACTCACATTCTTTCTTCCTTCCTTGTCTGCCTTCTTCACACACATTCTTCCTTCCTTTTTCCTTCCTTCCTTCCTTCTTTCTCTGACTTCTTCACTCACATCCTTCCTTCCTTCCTTCCTTCCTTCCTTCCTTCCTTCCTTCCTTCCTTCCTTCCTTCCTTCTTTTCCTTCCTACTCTCTCCCTCCCTCCTTTTCTTTTCATTTTTTTGCTGGGAAAATATTCCAATTTTTTCAACGAAACACTAAATTTGAAGAACCAACAAGAGGGTGTTTGAGGCTCCTATTTCTCCCCAAGGATAAGCAGGAAACTAGGAGGTCTTTAATCAGCCTGACCTGAATAGTTTTATCCCAGCTGGATTTAAATTTAGATTTTCTTTTCTTTTTTTTACCTGATATTCCTATCCTTGTTAAGGAGAAACCGCCCGAGGATATTTATCGCCAAAACCTATGTATGGAAGGAAAAAAAAAATTCAAGAATTTCCTTTCATTCTTAAAATGAATCTGAGGTAAAAGCAGGATTAGGAAAGCAGATTTGAGTCAAGGATAGCGCGTGGAACTACCCGACTCATGATTTTACGAAGGAGAGGCTAAACTCCGAGGGAATTTGGTGGTAGAAAAAGCTTACAATCCTTACAACGCATTGCAATGCTCGCAAACCTTGATTTGAGTTTAGCCGGCTAAAGCTAAAGAGAGAAATCTTGGTTTAAATCAAACGCTAACGTTTGCATGGTGCAATTTGTGCATTGTGCGGTTTTACGATACCCGCAATCCACTGGTAGACTGTATCCCCATGATGGTCAGCACCGTTTCGTACAAGATGGCGTTGCCCACGTTTCGTGTGGTTTCGGTGTTGGTGGCCACCTGGGGGAAGGAAGGAAGAAAGCATCACTCCCGAAACTCTTTCTTCTGTATTCTTCTTTTTATTCAAAAATAATAATTGTGTTGCTTTGCATTTTTGCTTTTTTTCAAAGAATAATTTTATCGCTTCGCATTTTTCTTTTTAAAAAATATTTTTATCGCTTAGCATTTTTCCTTTTTTAAAATAATTAAAAGTTCTTTGCATTTTTATTTTTTTTAATAATCCTCATATCCTCATAATGCATTGTAAACCGCCCTGAGTCTCCGGAGAAGGGCGGCATAGAAATCAAATTAAAAAAAATCTATCTATATCTATCTACCGGTCGGTCGGTCTGTCTGTCTATCTGTCTATTATCTATCTATTTGTATCTATCTATCATCTGTCTATCTATCTCTATCATCTATCTGTCTATATATATATATATATATATATATATATATATTGGTATCTATATCTATTTGTATCTATCATCTATCTATCTTTCTATCGGTATCTATCTATCTATCTATCTATCTATCTATCTGTCTGTATCTATCTATATTATCTATCTATATCTATCTATCATCTATCTATTTATTATTTATTTATTTATTATTTCTATTTCTATACCGCCCTTCTCCCGAAGGACTCAGGGCGGTGTACAGCCTATTTAAAAACACAGAAACAAAACAACAATTAAAATTTAAAATCATTAAATAATTAGGCTCCAATTAAAATCCCAAAAATTTAAAATACCCCAATTTAAAACGTTATGTTAATAGCCCAGCCTGGCGGAACAACAGGGTCTTCAGAGCGCAGCGAAACACCCGGAGGTCGGAGATCTTACGTATTTCCGGGGGCAGTTCATTCCGCAGGGCTGGGGCTCCCACAGAGAAGGCCCTCCCCCTGGGTGTCGCCAGCCGACATAACTTGGCCGATGGCACCCTGAGGAGACCCTCTCTGTGGGAGCGGACTGGTCGGTGGGAGGCTATTGGTGGCAGAAGACAGTCTCGAAGGTACCCGGGTCCTATGCCATGGAGCGCTTTAAAGGTGGTAACCAACACCTTGAATCGCACCCGGAAGACCACTGGGAGCCAGTGCAGCTCGCGCAATCAATCTACCTATCTATTGGTAGCTATCTATCATCTATCTAACTATCTGTATCTATATCTATCTATCTATCTATCTATCTATCTATCTATCTATCTATCTATGTATCTATGTATCTATTGGTATCTATCTATCTATCTATCTGTATCTATCTATCTGTCTATCTCTATTGGTATCTATCTATCAATCTATCTGTATCTATCTATCATCTATCATCTATCTATCTATTGGTATCTATCTATCTTTCTATCGGTATCTATCTATCTATCATCTATCTATCTATCTAACTAACTAACTATCTATCTGTATCTATCTATATCTATATCTGTCATCTATCAATCAATCTATCGGTATCTATCATCTATATCTATCTATTGGTATCTATCTTTCTATCTTTCTATCGGTATCTATCTATCTATTTATCTATCTATCTATCTATCTATCTGTATCTATCTATATTATCTATCTATATCTATCTATCAATCAATCTACCTATCTATTGGTAGCTATCTATCATCTATCTAACTATCTGTATCTATATCTATCATCTATCTATCTATCTATCTATCTATCTATCTATCTATCTATCTATCTAACTATCTATCTGTATCTATGTATCTATTGGTATCTATCTATCTATCTATCTGTATCTATCTATCTGTCTATCTCTATTGGTATCTATCAATCTATCTGTATCTATCTATCTTTCATCTATCATCTATCTATCTATTGGTATCTATCTATCTATCTAACTATCTAACTATCTAACTATCTAACTATCTATCTATCTATATCTATATCTGTCATCTATCAATCAATCTATCTATCTATCTGTATCTATCTATATCTGTCATCTATCAATCAATCTATCTATCTATCGGTATCTATCTATCATCTATATCTATCTATTGGTATCTATCTTTCTATCTATCTTTCTATCGGTATCTATCTATCTATCTATCTATCTATCTATCTATCTGTATCTATCTATATTATCTATCTATATCTATCTATCATCTATCAATCAATCTACCTATCTATTGGTAGCTATCTATCATCTATCTATCTATTGGTATCTATCTATCATCTATCTTTCTATCTACTGGTATCTATCTATCGGTATCTGTCTATCTATCTATCTATCTATCTATCTGTATATCTATATCTATCTATCTATATCTATCATCTATCAATCTAAATATCTATCTATCGGTATCTATCATCTATATATATCTATTGGTATCTATATCTATCATCTATCATCTATCATCTAACTATCTGTGTCTGTCTGTCTGTCTGTCTGTCTATCTATCTATCATCTATTCCGGCTTTATTCATGTTTAGCAATAAGTCAAGGAGTTAAAACATATCCAACTCACCTACCACCTCCTATTCTTCTAGCAACAACAACCCTGTGAGGTGGGCTGGGTTGAGAGAAAGGGACTGGCCCAAAACTACCCAGTCAGCTTTCATGCCTAAAGTGGAACTCAAACTCACTGTCTCCTGGTGATTGACCCAAAGTCACCCAGTCGGCTTTCATGTCTTAGGCGGGACTAGAACTCAGCTTCCTTGTGATTGGCTGAAAGTCAACCAGCTAGTTTTCATGCCTAAGGTGGGACTAGAACTCACCGTCTCCTGGTGATTGACCCAAAGTCACCCAGTCAGCTTTCATGCCTAAGGCGGGACTAGAACTCACCGTCTCCTGGTGATTGGCTCAAAGTCACCCAGCCAGCTTTCATGCCTAAGGCGGGACTAGAACTCACCGTCTCCTGGTGATTGGCTCAAAGTCACCCAGCCAGCTTTCATGCCTAAGGTGGGACTAGAACTCACCGTCTCCTGGTGATTGGCCCAAAGTCACCCAGCCAACTTTCTTGTTTCCTGCTTTCTAGTCTGGTGCCTTCCTCACTAGACTTAGTCCGGCTCTTATTATTCCACATTTTCCCATTTTTAATAATAATTTTACCCCTTTGCATTTTTCCTTTTTTTTTTTAAATAAGAATTTTATCTCTCGGCATTTTCCCTTTTTAATAATAAAAAAAAAATGGATCGCTTTGCATTTCTTCCGAAGTACATGATTATAAAAATAATTCTTCAGAGAATTCCCACATCCTAAGAGCTTCAGGAACGCGACGGAGGCTAAAAGCCGGAATAGCTTCTCCGTTCCCGTCCTGTTTTCCTGGGTTAACCTTCAACTTTTCCTTCCCAAAACGTCCCTCTTCCCGCTGACCTGCGCCAAGGAGTCGTTCATGGCGTCGCTGGCCTCCGTGTTGTCTCGTCCTAAAATCCGGAGGAGCCGGAGGAGCTGCACCTTCGGGGGGAGAGAAGACAAGAGACGTATTTATTTATTTATTTTATTTATTTGTTTCAATTTGTATACCGCACCTTCTCCAGCAGGACTCAGGGCGGTGAACAGCCAAAATAAAACAGAACATACAACATTTAAAAACAGTTTAAAAATAATTAAATATTTTTGGCCGCAATTTAAAACAACCCAATTAAATTTAACCAAAACAGTGGGATCAAGCTAGCCCAGCTAGGTGAAATAAATAAGTTTTCAGGGCCCGACAAAAAGTCCAGAGGTCTAGTATTTTACGTATCTCTGGGGGGTAGATTGTTCCAGAGGGCGGGCGCCGCCACAGAGAAGGCTCTCCCCCTGGGGGTCGCCAGCCGACACTGTCTGGCGGGACGGCACCCTGAGGAGGCCCTCTCTGTGCGAGCGTACTGGCCGGCGGGAGGCTATTGGTGGCAGAAGGCGGTCTCGTAAATACCCCGGCCCTAAGCCATGGTATAAACGCAGGTTTTTGTGGCTCGGATGGGAGAACTTACTAACCCTTTACAAACTTGTTTAATCCAAGTGTGAAGCAGCTCGGTCCCTTGGGGAGAAACCCACAGCTCCAGCCCCACCTGAAAAATCTTGGGACCTGTGCAGGGAGTGGTATTCACTTACTTTCCGCAAATGTGCCCAGCCTCAAAAACCTAAATAGGATGCTATAGAGCCGGGACAGGTGGGCAATTTCCACTATCGGTACAGGCGAACCGATCCGAACCGGCTGAATACCAACTCTGGACCTGCGGACCAGCCTAAACATTCACAGGCTGAGCTGAACCTCAGTTTTATTTTATTTATTTATTTATTTATTATATTTCTATACCGCCTTTCTCCCGTAGGACTCGAGGCGGTGTACAGTCAAGAAAAATATAGACACACAATAAAATTGCTAATTAAAATTATTACTTAGTTTGGTCAATTAAATAAAACCCAGAATTAGATCACATTAAAAAAATCATTCACATATTCATATGTTTAGCCCCGCCTGTTGAAACATCAGGGTCTTGAGGGCACGGCGGAAAGCACGGAGATCAGGGATATTCTGTATCTCCGGGGGCAGTTCATTCCAAAGGGTTGGAGCCCTCACAGAGAAGGCCCTCCCCCTGGGAGTCGCCAGTCGGCATAATTTGACTGACGGTACCCTGAGTAGTCCCTCCCTGTGAGAACGAACTGGTCTCCATGATATAAAAAAAGACGTTGAGACTCTAGAACAGGGGTGTCCAACTCGATTTCATTGAGGGACGCATCAGGGTTGTTTGACCTTGGGGGGCTGGGGGTGGGTAGGTGTGGCTGGGGTGGGCATGGCCAGCTCGATGTCACTCGACGAGGCTCCGTTTTCAGTCACGACGGGCTCCTGCAGCCCTCTGCCAACGAAAGCGGGAGCTCTGTTTTAGGTTTCGATGCTATCTCAAAATAAATGAATTTCCAAACTGCCGATCTTTGAGGAAATTTTCTCTTGATTGAGCATAGTGATCCGTCCCTGGCTCTTTCGCAGTCAGCACTGACCTTTGCCCCCCAATCCCTCCCTTTCCGATCCCCAATTCTCTGCGTCTCATTGGCTATCTTCCAAGCCACTCGCCTCATCCCATCTCCGTCAGATCACAGGAATGTCCCCCCCCTCCTCCCATTACCGAGGAAACAGAATCTTCAAAGGAATTAAGTAGGCAAAAGTTCAAGCTTCTCCTCTCCTTTCATATGTCAGCGCTGGAACGCTGACAGCTGTACACCGCCCTGAGTCCTTCGGGAGAAGGGCGGTATAGAAATCTAATAATAAATAAATAAATAAAATAATAAAGCTCCGTTTTCGCTGGCAGAGGGCTGTAGGAGGCTGCCGTGGCCGAAAATGGAGCCAGGGAGGGCCGCGTGCAGCTTCCCAGAGCTCCGTTTTCACTGGCAGAGGGCTGCAGGAGGCTGTCGTGGCTGAAAATGGAGCCAGGGAGGGCCGCACGGAGCCCTCCCAAGCTCCATTTTCACTGGCAGAGGCACCGTGGGCCGGTCCTTCGCTGTTTCCACGGCGACCCCACGGGCCAGATCTAAGCACCCCGCAGGCCGGATCCAGCCTGCGGGCCTTGAGTTTGAAACCCCTGCTCTAGAAAGAGTGCCGAGAAGAGCAACAAAAGTGATTAAGGGGCTGGAGGTTAAAACATACAAAGAACGGTTGGCAGGAACTGGGTATGTTTAGTTTGACGAAAAGAAGGACGAGAGGAGACATGATAGCAGTCTTCCAATATCTCAGGGGTTGCCCCAAAGAAGAGGGAGTCAAGCGACTCTCCAAAGCACCAGAGGGCAGGACAAGAAACAATGGATGGAAACTAATCAAGGAGAGAAGCAACCTAAAATGAAGGCGAAATTTCCTGACAGTTAAAACAATTAACCAGTGGAACAACCTGCCACTAAAAGGAGGTTTTTAAGAAAAGATTGGATACCCATTTGTTTGGAATGGTATAGGGCAGTGACGGCTAACCTTTTTGCCATCGTGTGCCAAAAGTCGGGGGAGTGGGGGGAAGGGTCACGCGTGCACCCATAATTCAATGCGCCCCATCCCCCTGCGCATGCCCACACGACCCCATCGAGCTCCCCCGCTTTTGGCATGCGATGGCACGGTGGGCCCGGTAGGCCCATTTTTCGCCCTCTCCAGGCTCCAGAGGTTTTCTTGGAGCCTGGGGAGGGCGAAAACGGCCTCCCCCCGCCCCCAGGAGGTCCTCTGGAGGCCGGAAACAGTCTGATTTCTGGTGGGGCCTAGAAAGCATCTGGAGCCTGGGGAGAGCAAAAAACGGGCCTTTCCCCCCCCGGAGGCCCTCCAGAGGCTGGAACAGTCTGTTTCCCAACCTCCGGTGGGCCCGGAAGGCCCGAAAATCAGCTGGCTGGCGTGTGCATGCACGTCGGAGCTGAGCGAGGGCAACGCTCGCGTGCCCACCGATATGGCTCCGTGTTCTGCCTGTGGCACACGTGCCAGAGGTTCACCATCACGGATATAGGGTTTTCTGCAAGAGCAGGGGGTTGGACTAGAAGCTCTCCAAAGTCCCTTCCCCCTGTCGTACAGGCAGTCCTTGACTTACAACACTTCATTTAGTGAGTGGGCAAAGTTGCAACAGCACGGAAAACAATAACTCGTGACCATTTTTCACACTTACGACCATTGATCACCTCAGTCACATGATCAAAATCCAGAGGACGCTTGGCAACTGGTTCATATTTACGACGGTCGCAGCGTCCCGGGGTTATGCGGTCCTCCTTTTGTGACCTCCTGACAAGCCAAGTTCACAGCGGAAGCCAGATTTACTGAACGCTACTCATTGGACCGCTCTAACGTGGCAGGAAAAGTCACAAAATGGGGCAAATACTCCCTTAAGGAACATTTACAAAGTTAGCAACATAAATTTGGGGCTCAATGCTGGTCGTAAGTCGAGGACTACCCGCGTTCTGTGTCCCAAACATCTCTGCTGACCCACGCAGGTCCTTGTGTTCCTTTTCCCCCCCAAGTTGTCGCCTTGTGTAGGCCTCACGAAACAAGAAGGCCAGGCCGTCTCCTTCCTACCTGGAGGAAAGGTTCACTGATGCCCCCAATTGTGTTATTCGGACAATATCCAGCTACCACCAGATTGCGCAATATTCCGGCCAGCTGAGGAACAAACTGCGGAGGACGACAAAGAGAAGGAGAAGGTCAGGAGGGTGAGGTCCTTCCCAAGGGAGGGTGTTTCTACAGGTCTCGGATCCCATCGTCCAGCCGCATGCTGGAAAGTCAGTTGATATATGAAGTCCAATGCAGTGAGCCATGGGCAGATCTGTAAATCGGGGAAACAAAACAACCACTTCACAACCTCATGGCACAACCTAAAAGAAGCTCAATCAGGACTAGGTTCAGCGGTTCAGCTGCGTTTAAAAGACAAAGGCCACTCTTTTGAAGGCGGCAACGTCCACATTTTGGACAGAGAGGACAGGGCGGGTTGGACTAGATGACTTCCAAGATCCCTCCCAACTCCGTGATTCTGTTATTATCTGCTATTACCTTGGAGAAATGTTGGAGGGCCTGCAAGCTTTTTTCACACATCTCCGCAATTAACATAATAGTGCTGTACAGGATGCCTGGAAAAAAATTAGATTGCTCATTTTTGAGTTTTGACTCTCATTCAATTGTTCTTCCCAATCGCTTGGTTTCTTCCGTTCCTTCTTCATTCTCTTCCTAACCTTTTCTCCCTCTTTTCCTTAACCTGTTCTCAATCTTTTCTCTTTTTCTTGATCTTTTCCCTAACTTTTTCCTGATCTTTTTCCTAACCTTTTCCTGATCGTTTTCCTAACTTTTTCCTGATCTTTTCCCTAACCTTTTCTTGATCTTTTCCCTAACCTTTTCCTGATCTTTTTCCTCACATTTTCCTGATCTTTTTCCTAACCTTTTCTCAATAATTTCTTTTTCTTGATCTTTTCCCTAACCTTTTCCTGATCTTTTTCCTCACATTTTCCTGATCTTTTCCCTAACCTTTTCCTGATCTTTTTCCTAACCTTTCCTGATCTTTTTCCTAACCTTTTCCTGATCTTTTTCCTAACCTTTTCCTGATTCCTTTTTCCTAACATTTTCCTGATCTTTTTCCTAACCTTTTCTCAATCTTTTCTTTTTCTTGATGTTTTCCCTCACCTCTTCCCTAACCTTTTCCTGATCTTTTTCCTAACCTTTTCTCAATCTTTTCTTTTTCTTGATCTTTTCCCTCACCTTTTCTTTAATCTTTTCTCTTTTTCTCGATCTTTTTTCCCACTTGGGCAGAGGGTTGGACTAGATGACCTACAAGGTCCCTTCCAACTCTGTAAATCTGTTTTCCCTAACCTTTTCTTGATCTTTTTCCTAACTTTTTTTTGTCTTTTCTCTTTTTCTCTACCTTTCCTCTAACCTTTTCCTGATCTTTTTCCGAACCTGTTTTTGATATTTTCCCTAACCTTTTCTCAATGTTTCTCTAGCTATGTCTCAATTTTTTTTCTCAATCTTTTTCTTCATTTTTTCCCTCTAACCTTTGCTTTGATCTTTCCCTAGCCTTTTTGCGATCTTTTCCCTTAACTCTTTCTCAATCTTTTCCATAACCGTTTCTCGTTCTTTCCCATAACTTTTTCTCAATCTTTCCCATGATCTTTTCTTGATTTTTTTCCCCCTTAACTGTTTCTCGATCTTTCTCCTAGTTTTCCCAGTCCTTCCGTTGCACGTTTTAGCTATGAAATCACTTTGCACATTCACCTCTTGGGGTGCCAAGCAACGGATCGATCTCCCTACAAACAGGAATAGTGCAACTCACCAATTTTGCCCACCAACCTCCGACTCAAAAACCAGCCCACTCACTCTGAATTTGTTCCTTCAACAGCTGTTCTCCCAGTGGTGTGAACATATCTACTAAGGTGGGTACTTTCCGGATGATATGTACCGCGCAGACCACAGCCTGGAAACGGAGGGTTCGTAAGAAGGAATTACTATGATTTACATTCATATATTGTACAACCTATTCATATTATGAATATATTATTTATTATACGTTTATATATTTTATAATTCACTTATAATTCAGAGTTTTTCAGGGCTCGGTTTTGGACGGGACGTTCTGTCCTTTTGAGAAAAGGCCAGCGCCTCTGAACATGTGCAGAAAGTTTGCTGGAGGGATGCCAGCTGGTCTCCTATTCCTCTGAGTAAATGGGAAGAGGTCCCAACTACAGCTTGGAATTAGTGAGGGTCAGGGATGGTAGTCACTTACTTTCTGGGTTGCCCCCAGTTTAGACCGGTTCGCAAGAACCGGTAGTAAAACCAGCAGGAGGCTCCGCCCACTGACCTGGATGTCATCAGGAAGCTTTACTACCCGTTGTGAACTGGTAGTAAAGGTAAGTAGAGCGCACCCCTGAGCGCGCCCCATCCACGAATGCACCCGGCATTGCGCGCATGTGCTTTGCTGGCGTACCTGTCTTCCGCGCATGCACCCAGGCCTCAAAAACTTGCCTAAATAGGATGGCATAGAGCCGGGGTGGGTGGGCGGGGCCACCCACGATTTCCGCTACCAGTTCGGGCGAACTGATCCAAACCGGCTGAATACCACCTCTCTTTAGGGAGGATGTTTGAGGTACCCACTTGCCCGCAAATTGGGAGAATACAGATCGTCCTCGACTTACGACCAATATCGAGCCCAGAATTTCCACCGCTAAGCAAGACAGTTGTTGAGCGAGTTTTGCCCCATGTTACGACCTTTCCTGCCGCCGTTGTTAAGCGAACCGCTGCAGTTGTTAAGTGAGTAACATGGTTGTTAAGTGAATCTGGCTTCCCCATGGACGTTGCTCGTCAGAAGGTCGCAAAAGGGGATCACACGACCCCGGGACGCCACTACCGTCATAAATACGAGTCAATTGCCAAGTGTCTGAACTGTGACCACGGGGAAGCTGCAACGGTCATAAGTGTGAAAAACGCTCGTAAGTCACTTTTTTCACTGCCGTTATAACTTCGGTCACTAAACGAAAAGGTCGTAAGTCAAGAACTACCTATAAATACGGCGTTTGGTCAGCGGCTTGTAAAAAATGGCGTGCTAAAACCAAGCAGTGGAAATTTTAGGATTGAACAATCAGATCAAACTGGAGCACCCAAACCAAGGTTTTAACGACAGGTAGTCCTCGAGTTATGACCCCAAAGGAGCCCAAACTTTATCTTGCCAAGTGCAACATTTATTACGTCGGCCCCGTTTTCCGACTTTTCTTCCCACCGTTGTTAAGTGAATCGTTGCCGTCGTTAACATTAGCAACACGGTCGTGAAGCGAATCGGGAGTCCCCGTTGACTTCGCTCATCCGACGGTCGCCAAAAGGGGTTTCCCAAGGGACCCTGCAATCGTCACAAATAGGAAACCACTTGCCGAGCGTCTTGACGATGCGACGGGATGCTGCAACGGTCGTTAAGCGTGAAAAATGGCTCCCGAGTCGTTTTATCGGGTGCCGTCGTAACGTCAAATCTTTATTGTCAGCGCACAACGTGTGCGCCATGAGATTGGTTGAGCTCCCATCAGGAGAGTCCTTCCGAACGTTGAACGGTCGCTAAATGAACGGGCGTAACTCGAGGACTAGCTGTACAGCGAAAGCCGGAAAGCGAATCCGCGGCGTCTCACCTTCCTTCGTACGGCGGGCTGCCCGGTTTTTGCCAGCTGCTGCACTTCCTGAGCCAAATCCTGCAACATGGCCGCCGAGCCGAGCGAGCCCAGGGTACTCAGTGCCAATCCTTGCACCCAGGAGTTGCTATGCAGCAGGTCACTTGCAGGTAAGGAGGGAAAAGAGGCATATAAGAAATCCCGTCTTCCACGCGCCGCTCCTTATTCTTATTTCGCCCAGAAGTTTTCTAATAATTTTTAGAGAAGCCGTATTTTAATGTACGGCTTTATTGAATCAGTTTTTTTATTAGCGTTAGATAAATGAACACGGTGTTCTTGTATTAAGAGCATACCAGTGTTTCTCAACCCGTTGCCCCTTTAAGAGGAGGGGGACTTCAACTCCCAGAATTCCCATGCTGGCTGGGGAATTCTGGGACTTGAAGTCCCCTCCTCTTAAAGGGGCTACGCGTTGAGAAACACTGGACTACGCTATATTTATGATTTATTTTATCATTGCCAGTATGTTACTGCGCTGCTTCTCTTTCTTGATCCTGATGGTAACTCCTTTTTCTTTTTTAATTGCTCATTTTATTATTTAATGTTGATGGTCATTGACTGAAGAAATAAATAAATTTAGATTTCATTGTCCACCTTCATTCCCCTCAAAAAAATCTGGAAGGAGGGAAAGCAGAATCTCTGTCCCACCCACCCCCAGAATATATCCTACCTTATGGACAGGGATTCTTTAGCTGTAAATCAATCAATCTATCTATCTATCTATCTATCTATCTATCTATCTATCTATCTATCTATCTATCATATATTTATCTCTATCATCGAGCTAGCTGTCATTATTATCTATCTATCATCTATTTATTTTATCTATCATCTATTTGCCTATCATCTATCAGCTAGCTAGCTAGCAATCATCTATCATCTATCTGCCTATCATCTATCTATCTATCTATCTATCTATCTATCTATCTATCTATCTAGGTAGCTATCATCTATTATCTATTTATCTACCTAGCTATCATCTATTTATCATCTATCATCTAGCTAGCTATTATCTATTTATTTAGCTATCATCTAGCTAGCTAGCTAGTTATCATCTATCTATCTATCTATCTATCATATTTATCTCTATCATCTAGCTAGCTGTCATTATTTATCTAGCTATCATCTATCTATCTGCCTATCATCTATCTATCTATCTATCTATCTATCTATCTATCTATCTATCTATCATCTATCTATATCTATCTATCATCTATTTATCATCTATCTATCTATCATCTATCATCTATCTATATCTATCTATCATCTATTTATCATCTATCTATCTATCTATCTATCATATATTTATCTCTATCATCTAGCTAGCTGTCATTATTTATCTAGCTATCATCTATCTATGCCTATCATCTATCTATCTATCTATCTATCTATCTATCTATCTATCTATCTATCATCTATCTATATCTATCTATCATCTATTTATCATCTATCTATCTATCATCTATCATCTATCTATATCTATCTATCATCTATTTATCATCTATCTATCTATCTATCTATCATATATTTATCTCTATCATCTAGCTAGCTGTCATTATTTATCTAGCTATCATCTATCTATCTGCCTATCATCTATCTATCTATCTATCTATCATCTATCTATATCTATCTATCATCTATTTATCATCTATCTATCTATCATCTATGATCTATCTATATCTATCTATCATCTATTTATCATCTATCTATCTATCTATCTATCATATTTATCTCTATCTAGCTAGCTGTCATTATTTATCTAGCTATCATCTATCTATCTGCCTATCATCTATCTATCTATCTATCTATCTATCTATCTATCATCTATCTATATCTATCTATCATCTATTTATCATCTATCTATCTATCATCTATCATCTATCTATATCTATCTATCATCTATTTCATCTATCTATCTATCTATCTATCTATCATATATTTATCTCTATCATCTAGCTAGCTGTCATTATTTATCTAGCTATCATTTATCTATCTGCCTATCATCCATCTATCTATCTATCTATCTATCTATCTATCCAGCTAGCTATCATCTATTATCTATTTATCTACCTAGCTATCATCTATTTATCTATCATCTATCTATCATCTAGCTAGCTAGCTAGCAATCATCTATCATCTATTTATCTAGCTATCATCTAGCTAGCTAACTGTCATTATCTATCTATCTATCTATCTATCTATCTATCTATCTATCTATCTATCTATCATTAACTATATCTACATGCACTCCTCGACATACAACCAGTCCCTGAGTGACCATTCAAAGTTACAACGGACCCCCTCCCAAGGACACTAGAACCCCTGGTCTGAAGGTTGCCGGCTCCCCCACCACCACCACACACATCAAGAAATAGGCGGAGCTTTGATTGCATCATCGTCGCCACCATTTTGACTTTTTTGACCACATCCTGCAGACGCCCCTTCTTTTGAGTCCCTCAAACCCAGTTCCCTGCTCATGTGTTCCACTAAACCACTCTTTAACCGTCATTAGAAGCCCTGCCTGGCTGGGTTTGCCCAACCCACAAGGCTGACAAACTGCGATGGCTGTGGTGGCGCCCCCTTAAGTCGGAAGCAAGGATCTACATGGCGGCTTAGCGGGATTGCAGGGTCCAGATCACCGAAATCCCCTTCGGGATCCTGCAAATCTCCCGCAGAAATCCGCCTGAATTCCTCCCTCTTTCGATAGCCCACCCATTTTAATCCATTCCACGGATCGATTTTGAGATCTCAGATCTGATCTGATTAGGGAAAAGGGAGAAACCCCCCCCCCATATTTTGGACATGCCCCCCCTCACTTCTTGATGCTATTGGTCAGGAGAAGGTGAGTGTCCTGCTTCTCGTCCAATAGGAGGGCAGCCCCGAGGTAGCCAATCCGCTTCTCATGGAGTCGGGCAGAGGCGATGAGTTTCAGGCACTCCATCTGGGTTGCGACAGGAAGAAGAGGGCTAACATCTTTTTCCCACAATGCTTTGCGGCGGCATTTAGTTAGGGGCATGGTGGGAAATCAAAATGGCGGCTTCCAAAATGGCAGCTAAGGAAGGGCGATATTTTTAAACTTGACCTACCCAAAAGTTGTTGGGTTTTTGTTTTTGTTTTTTGCTCTTTAATACCGGAGTCAGCTTGCAAATTTAATCCTTACAAAGTCACAAGCAGTCCTCAACTTACGACCACAACTGAGTCCCAAATTTCCATTGCTAAGCGAGTTTTGCCACATTTTACGACCTTTCTTGTCATGGTCGTTAAGTGAATCACCGCAGCTGTTAAGTTAGTCACGTGGGTTTTTTTAAAGTGAATTTGGCTTCCCCATTGACTTGGCATGTCAGAAGGTCGCAAAAGGGGAACGCGTGACCCCGGCACGCTGCGACCGTCATAAAGGCGAGTCAGTTGCCAAGCGCCTGAATTTGGATCACGACGTGGCCATGGGGCTGCTGCAACGGTCGTTAAGTGTGAAAAACGGTCCTAAGTTACTGTTTTCCATGCCGTTGTAACTTTGGCTCACGTGACCATCGGTTAAGCCAGGGGTCAGCAACCTGCGGCTCTGGAGCCGCATGTGGCTCTTTTGTCCCTCTGCTGCAGCTCCCTGTTGCCGGTTGGCTCCACAATTGATAGGGCTTTCGGTTAGGACAGGTAGAGGAAAAAGGATGCCGTGCTAGGAGGAGACTCTATGATGGGGGAACTGGACTTCCGGTCGGCTCCAGAATTGAACGGGGGGAGTTCCGGTTAGGACCTTTGTGGCTCTTTGAGTGTTTAAGGTTGCCGACCCCTGGGTTAAGCAAATTTGGCCCCATTTTACGACCTTTCTCGCTACGGTTGTTAAGTGAATCACTGCAGCTGTTCAGTTAGTAACATGGCTTCCCTTGCTTGTCAGGTCGTAAAAGGGGGGAATCCCATGATCCCGGGACACTGCAACCGTTATAAATGTGAACCCGTTGCCAAGCATCTGAATTTGGATCACATGGCCATGGGGCTGCTGCAACGGTCATATGGGTGAAAAACGGTCATAAGTCCCTTTTTTCCAGTGCTGTGGTCACTCTGAACGGTCATTAAAACTGATTGTTGTAACTCGAGGACGAGCTGAACGTACCTGTCCAAAGTGGGCAGGATAGCCCAACATATAGATGTACAGCAACTTCGCCAAATTGGAAACCCGGTTCCCGGATTCATCGCCCCGAAAAGCGCTCCTAATTTTGGCGCTTTCTCGTTGCACCAATTCCCGTTCTTCCGCCTGTGTCCGGGCACTCCGGATGGTCCGAATCAGGATCGGTAAAGTGAGCGGTCCCTCGGACATCCTAGATGACAAAGGAAATGCGGGACAGGTAATAATTTGTCAGGATTTGCCGGGAATTTCCCTTATCCTGTCTTCTTCGCATGATGTGTATTTTTCTTGCGGTTCCCCCCCCCTCAAAAAAACCGCATGTTTAGAACTCGGGACCTAAGACTTGACCTAACCCATCATCTCAGGTACATCGGAATTACAAAACGCTGAATTTTAGTTGGGGATTTGGGGAGTCTCTTTGCCCCCCTCCCCCCAAAACTTTTTTAGTCTGAATTTTCAGAGCCCCTTTGTTGTGGCCCGTCAGCAGCCTGTGCAGCTAGTAGCTGATTCCGACAGCGAAGAGGCTGGTGTGGTACTGCGCCAGCAGTCTGTGCAGCTGGCACTCGAGTCAGACAGTGAGGAGGCTGGAGAAGATGTGGTGCCAGAGGCGGGGATTCATCCGGGGCCTTCAGAACCTCCAGAAACTCCTATAAGTGAAGAGGAAGAAGAGGAGGAGCCTCTTCTCGATGCACGGGCGCGCAGAGCTGCCAAAAGGCAGGAGTGGCTCCTCAGGAGGAGGTCTCCTCGAGAGTTAAGGCTTGGGGCTAATTGGCCACTCCCTTAGCCTATTTAGGGAAGGACGACGACTGAGGCAATTTGCAGGGAACCACTTCCTTCACTCTCCTTCGGGTCCTGATCTTAGTTCTCTTATCAGCTTCCTGCAAATTGCTTCTGGGCTTTCTGCCAACCATAGTAAGAGTACGATTATTTATTCTTTGGATTCTTGTAGGCTGTTCAGAAAGTTACTTAACAGCCTTTGTTTGAAAAAGACTGATTTAATTTAGTAAACTAAGGTTTGTACAGATTTTTGTGTGCGCTACGTTCTTTGGGGTCCGTAGCTGGGGCAGAAGCTTCTCTTCAAGACATCAAACCTGGTTGGCATTAACCTCGGTTAAGGTTTACCGGATCGTCTGAGCCCAGCTTCGGTTTGCTATTTCGCGATTGGCTCTACAACAGCAAATGAGGTTGATTTAATTTATTAATTAATACATTAATTGAGCAAATCAATTGCGCTTCCTGGCCAAGCGCAGACCTTTTTTTTTCCTAAATCAAACTTGGGGTGACTTTAAGAGAAGGTGGACTTCGATTCCCAGAATTCCTCAGCCGGTCATTCTGGGAGTTGAAGTCCACTCATCTTAAAAGAAACCAGAGAGGCCGATTTTAATCACAAGATGATTGAATTGATGAAACGTCCTCGCTGACGTCGGTGAACATCACAAGGTGGTCTTCTCCCATCTATGGTCCCCCCACCCCCTTGGCAACTTTTAAGACTTCCAACTTCCAGAATTCCCCAGCCAGTTTGCCGATTTCCCCCTGCTCTAAAATCTCGGCTGCCAATTCATAATAATCTTTTGAGTAAGCGGATAGCTATGAAAACAGTTAAAGGATAATTTTTTAAAAAATGTGGTTTAGGATAATATCTCTGATTGCTTCTCGTAGGCAGCAGAGGTGGTATTCAGCCGGTTCGGTACAAATCTCCTGCGGGGGACTAGATGACCTCCAGGGTTCCTTCCCACTCTGTTTATTTTTATTTTTTATTTTATTTTATTTCGAATTTATATACCGCACCTTCTCCCAAGGGACTCAGGGCGGTGTACAGCCAGATAAAAACATACAATACAAACATTAAAAACAATGAAAAGAATATATATTAATCTGGCCCCAGTTTACAATGACAAACCAATTAAAAATTAAAAATTTAAAAATATGTTACTGTTACTGTTAGCCAGGACTTTCAGGCAGCTGATTTGGGGGGTCTTTAAATGGCAACAAAATGCTAATAATTATTATTATTTGAACCCCATGCAAACGAAGCTACATTTTTATTATTATTATTATTTTTTGCTTCTTGTTTGTGGCTTTTGCATCTTCCCATCCGTCTCGAAAAAAATTCGATTTCTGCCCACCAATATCTTGGCCCAGCTTTTTTTCCCCTGGTTCCAAGGAACCAGGGAATGCTTAATGCATTGTAAGCCGCCGTGAGTCTCCGGAGAAGGGCGGCATATAAATTAAAAAGCAAAAAGCAAAAAAGCAAGAACCGGAAGCCTTTCTAAGCACCGGCCTCAGAAATTATCTTTGCATTGTGAAACCTTAAACTCCTGGATCAGCTCTGGTTTCAAAGGCTTGCTCCCTCCTTGGAGTTTCCACCACCCCATTCAAACATTCTTTGCAAAGCACCCACCCGACGTTAAATTAACCTTCCTCTCATTTTCCATCCGGACGATTGGGAAAAATTTTCTTGCAAATAATTAATTTGCAAATCGGATCGATTAGATCAGTGAATGTTGGGAGTCGCTCGAAACTTATTCTCTCTCTCTCTCTTTCTCTTTCCTTCTCTCTCTCTCTCTCTCTCGCTTTCTCTTTCCTTCTCTCTCTCTCTCATTTCATTACTTCTTCTTATCCTGCAAATGTTCCTTCACCTGTCCAGAAGACACCCCTCGGCCTCCTTCTGTTCCTGGAAAAAAGCGGAAAAAACAGCAGCTGGAATCCTTCTCTCTCTGCCTCTCCTTCGGATCTCAGTCAATTTTCTCCCAGTTCCGGACAGATTCCTTCCAATCTTGGCAGGTGAGCTCACCTGAGTTTGGAGAGGTAGCTCGGCCCTGGGCGCCCCCTGTTGGGCAAAGGATGCATGACATGCGAGGGAGGGGGTTGATCGCGAGTCCTTTTATGCCTTTAAAGCTGTGTTTTTATTTTTATAGTTAGATTTTATAGTAAGATTTTGGCCTGGCCTAAATCTTCTCCCCTTTTAAATATAAATTTTAAATACAAATTTTAATCTGTTTAAATTATGGGGTATTTTAAATTCAGCCAAATTATTTAATTCGTTTTTAATCTATTTTAAATTTTTGTATCTCTGTGTTTTATCTTCTGGCTGTTCACCGCCCTGAGTCCTTCGGGAGAAGGGCGGTATAGACATTTAATAAAATAAAATAAAATAAAAATAAATAACGCACGCTGAAGGCAGCATTTAATTTCGTTGCACCAGGTGCAGTGACAATAAAGTAAACCAAAATTAAACTCAACTCAACAACTTTGAAGGTGGGTGGACTTCAACTCCCAGGATTCCCCAGCCAACCGGGGAATTCTGGGAGTTGAAGTCTACCCATCTTCAAGTGGTGAAGATTATTTATTTATGTTATTTTTATTTTATTTCCAATTTATATCCCGCCCTTCTCCCTGAGGACTCAGGGCGGTGTACAGCCAGAATTAAGAACATGAAATACAAATATTAAAAAAAAAACAATTAAAATATATATAAATTTGGCCCCCAAATTAAAAATCACAAACCAATTTAAAACTTTTAAAAATTTCTTCTTAAGCCAGCCCGGCTTGCTGGAAAAAATGGGTTTTAAGGGCAGATATTATATTAAGATTAGATATTTAAACTGCTTTAAAGGCCTTTCCTGACACAATTGAAGTGCGGGGTAGCATGGAAAGGAAGACTTGCCAGCTATAGTGAAGAGAAGGACCAAGTGAGACATGATAGCCGTCTTCCAATATTTGAGGGGCTGCCCCAGAGAGGAAGAAGGGGTCCAGCTATTCTCCAAAGCACCTGAAGGCCAGACAAGGAATAATGGATGGAAACTGAACAAGGAGAGATTCAACCTGGAAATAAGGAGAAATTTCCTGACAGCGAGAACAATCAACCGAAGGAACAGAAGTTGCCTTCAAAAGTTGCGGGAGCTTCATCCCTGGAGGCCTTCAAGAATCTGGACTTCCATCTGTCAGAAATGGTGTAGGGTCTCCTGCTTGGGCAGGGGGTTGGACTAGATGACCTTACAAGGTCCCTTCCAACTTTTGTCAATCTGTATATCAGGTCTTCTGTACCAAAGAAAATAGGTAAATATCCATTAATTAACTAAAGACAACTGGGTCAGGGAGAGATTATTCTGGAGAAAACGTACGTGGTCACTACGAGTTGACAGTGGATTGTGGGGCCCATTTTGGAATCCGGCTCCCAATTTAATCCCTATTTTGTGTGACGGCTGTTCCGCAAAATAATAATTGCGCTGATGATGTTCCAGAGTTGGATCCATGAAGCGTCTGCAAGAAAACAGCCAGGCTCAGAGGACTTAGAGCACTCGTCCGTCATAATGTATTTGTTCACCCGTTTTATTTTCCCATCCATCTCACTTTATATGATTTTTAGCTGTTTTATAATCTGTGGTGTGAAGAAGGATAATGTTTAAGTATCAGGCGTTAAGTATGTGGGAGTTAAATTATATTTTATATAATTTATGGGAGTTAAATTATATTTTATATAATTTATATGGGAGTTATATAAATTTAATAAAAAAAAAAATTACAGCTTGGTCTGGCCAAGCAAAATTCTATTAATTGTGTTTGTCTATGTATACAAATCTATCAACCTAAATTTATCTGTCTCTCCATCTATTATCTATGTGTCATATCTATCTATCTATCTATCTATCTATCTATTTATCTATCTATCTATCTATCTATCTATCTATTTAACTATCTATCATCTATATCTATCATTATCTATCTTTCATCTATCTATCATCTACAGTATCTATTATCTATGTAATATCTATGTATCATCTGTCTGTCTTGCTGTCTGTCATCTATTATCTATATCTATCTAACATTATGAGTCCAATAGGAGAATGGGCGGTATATAAATTGAATTAATAATAATAATAATAATAATAATAATAATAATAATAATGATGATGATGATGATGTATCATCTGTCTAACTGTCTGTCATCTATTATCTATGTCTATCTCTATCTATTTTAATAATTTTTAAATTTAAATTGTGATGTTTGTATTGTGTTTTTACCTGGCTGTACATCGCCCGAGTCCTTCAGGAGAGGGGCGGTATAGAAATAAAATTATCCTTATCCTTATCTATCTATCTATCTAACATCTATGTATCATCTGTCTGTCTAGCTGTCTGTCATCTATTATCTATCTCTATCTATCTATCTATCTAACATCTATGTATCATCTGTCTGTCTAGCTGTCTGTGTCATCTATCTCTATCTGTCTGTCTGTCTGTCTATCCATCCATCCATCCATAGCTGACTGTCTGTTATCTATCTATCTATCTATCTATCTATCTATCTATCTATCTATCCATCTATCATCTCTTTCTCTCTCCAAGCCTATCAATTTAAATCCATCCATTTATCCATCTATCTGTTGTTCTGTCTATACCAATTTATCAATCTAAATCTACCTATCATCCATCCGTCTCTCTCTCTCTCTCTCACTCACACACACACACACCTCTTATCAAACGAACAAAAGCAAAAGTAGCAATAGCTCTAACAATAATACCAATATCACATAACTGCAGTGGTTCCCACCAGCACGCCGGCTGGAGAATTCTGGGAGTTGAAGCCAACACATCTTTAACATTGTCAAAGGTGGGGGAAATTCTGATTTATTGTAGTAGTGACTGTGTTTATTAAATACAGTCCGTGCAAAAGAACTTTCAAGGGTTTTAGCCAAACTCACCGTGCAGAAAATCATCTACCTGGAGAAGAAAACTGGGTCGCAGACAGGTTAGTGAGTTATGTACCCAGATCCTGACGTCCTGGTGTATTATTTTATTTATTTTATTTTATTTTATTTTATTTTATTTTATTTTATTTATTTTATTTTATTTTATTTTATTTTATTTTATTTTATTTTATGTTATTTCTTTATGCAGCGTGCAATTCCTTAAAGCCAGCCTGATGCAAATTACTGATTTTTTTTGCAAATTCCCGTTTACTGGTTATTCCTGCAGGAATGTAGGAAGTCAGTGAATTCAGACGTGCTGGGCAGCTCCCATTTTTTTCTACACGTGTTCCAGAAGGGAAAGCTGAGGATGAGGATGGAATCTCGGGTCTGCAAAGCTGGCCGTCTCGCAGCTTCAGCCCATCGGGCGGCCCCCCAAATATTTGCTGGATTACAGAACCCATCATCCTAAGCCGAGAACCGTTGGGGGATAACAATACCCTCCCTAGGCCACTTCGTTGCCTGTTAAAGAGTCTCTGGGAGACTCCAGAGGTGTAAACTAAAAAGCAAAACAAGCGGCAGGGGGCAGCAAAACTTTCTGATCACGATTGACAAAACGGCTAGAGCGTCGCCATCCGGAAAAAATCGTCTTTCTAGGGCGAGGGCCTTTCCTCTCGGCGCTTCTCATCGCCATAGATATAAAACATGCAGAATTGACTGACTGAACCATTTGCCTAGTTTCCGGTGTCATTAGACTTGTTTCCATAGATGCGTTTAAAGAGCGGAAATTGTAGAATTCTTCCTGCCTTCCTTCCTTCCCTGATTCATTCCTTCTCTCCCTCAATTTTCTTCCCTTTCTTTTCCTTCTTTCTCGCCCTCCTTCCTTCTCTCTCCCTCCCCAATTCCTTCCTTCCCACCCTCAATTTCCTTCCCTTTCTTTTCCTTTTCCTCCCTTCCTTCTCTACCTCCCTTTCTTTCCTTCTCTCCCTCAATTTTCTTACCTTTTTCCTTCTTTCTCTCCCTCTGATTCCTTCCTTCCCTCAGTTTTCTTTTCTTTTACTTCTTTCTCTCCTTCCTTTCTCTCTTCCTTCTCCTCTCCCTCAATTCTTTAACTTCCTTCTTTCTCTACCAACCTTTCTTTCCTTCTCTCCCTCAATTTTTTCTTTTCTTTCTTTCTCTCCCCGATTTCTTCCTTCCCTCAATTTTCTTTTCTTTTACTTCTTTTTCTCCCTCCTTTCTCCCTCCCTTCTCCTCTCCCTCAATTCTTTAACTTCCTTCCTCTCTACCTCCGATTCCTTCCTTCCCTCCCTCAATTTTCTTTTTTCTTTTACTTCTTTCTCTCCCTCCTTCCTTCTCCCTCCCTCCCTGAATCCTTCCTTCCTTCAATTTTTTCTTTTACTTCTTTCTCTCCTTCCTTTCTCCCTTTCTCTCCAATTCGTTAACTTCCTCCGTCTCTCCCCCGATTCCATCCTTCCCTCCTTCAATTTTCTTCCCTTTTTCCTTCCTTCCTCCCTGATTTCTTCCTTCCCTCAATTTTCTTTTCTTTTACTTCTTTTTCTCCCTCCTTTCTCCCTCCCTTCTCCTCTCCCTCAATTCTTTAACTTCCTTCCTTCTCTACCTCCGATTCCTTCCTTCCCTCCCTCAATTTTCTTTTTTCTTTTACTTCTTTCTCTCCCTCCTTCCTTCTCCCTCCCTCCTGAATCCTTCCTTCCTTCAATTTTTTCTTTTACTTCTTTCTCTCCTTCCTTCTCCCTTCTCTCCAATTCGTTAACTTCCTTCCGTCTCTCCCCCGATTCCATCCTCCCTCCTTCAATTTTCTTCCCTTTTTCCTTCCTTCTCTCCTGATTTCTTCCTTCCCTCAATTTTCTTTTCTTTTACTTCTTTTTCTCCCTCCTTTCTCCCTCCCTTCTCCTCTCCCTCAATTCTTTAACTTCCTTCCTTCTCTACCTCCGATTCCTTCCTTCCCTGCCTCAATTTTCTTTTTTCTTTTACTTCTTTCTCTCCCCCTTCCTTCTCCCTCCCTCCCTGAATCCTTCCTTCCTTCAATTTTTTTTCTTGTACTTCTTTCTCTCCTTCCTTTCTCCCTCCCTCTATTCTTTTCTTTCCTTCCTTCTCTACCTCCCCAATTCCTTCCTTTCCTTCTCTCCCTCCCTTCTTTCCTTCTCTCCCTCCGATTCCTTCTTTCCCTCCCTCAATTTTCTTCCCTTTCTTTTCCTTCTTTCTCTCCCTTCCCAATTCCTTCCTTGTTCCTTCCCTTTCATTCTCTCCCTCCCTTCCTTCCCTCCCTCAATTTTCTTCCCTTTCTTTTACTTCTCTTCCTCCTTCCTTCTCTCTCCCTCCCCAATTCCTTCCTTCCCACTCTCCATTTCCTTCCCTTTCTTTTCCTTTCTTTCCCTCCTTCTCTCCCTCCCTTATTCCTTCCCTCCATTTTCTTCCTTTTCCTTCTTTCTCTCTCCTTCCTTCTCCCTCCCTCCGATTCCTCCCTTCCTTCACTCAATTTTCTTCTTTTACTTCTTTCTCCCCTTCCTTTCTCCCTCCCTTCTCCTCTCCCTCAATTCTTTAACTTTCTTCCTTCTCTCCCTTCCTCCCCGATTCCTTCCTTCCCTCAATTTTCTTTTTCTTTTACTTCTTTCTCTCCCTCCTTCCTTCTCCCTTCCTCCCTGATTCCTTCCTTCCTTCACTCAATTTTCTTTTCTCTTTTACTTCTTTCTCTCTTCTCCCTCCCTTCCTCTCTCCGTCAATTCTTCTTCCTTCCTTCCTTCCTTCCTCCCTCCCTCCTTTTCCTTTTCCTTTTCCTTCTCTCCCAAGGATTTCAGCAGGACAATGCATGTTTGGGACAACTCAGAATTGCTTTCCAATTTTTTTGTACGAACTTTCTTCTGCCGGCAGATGTGGTCAGGGCTGCCACTATACTGAACCAAACACTTCTTGTTGTTAGTTGCGAAGTCATGTCCGACCCGTCGCGACCCCATGGACCATGTTCCTCCAGGCCTTCCTGTCCTCGACCATCCTCCGGAGTCCATTTAAGCTCACGCCGACGGCTTCCGTGACTCCATCCAGCCACCTCATTTCAATCAAACACTAGATGGCAACAAAGAGTTGAGTTTTCTGTAGCTCTTGGGCGCCCTCTGTGGGTTATTTGACCTGCCCCTCTTCAATTCTATTTGTCATAACTGCAAATGGTTGCTAAGCGAGGCAGTGGCTAACTAAGGACTACTTCAACTTCCCAAACATATTGCTTTTCTGAGTCTGGACTGACTAGACACAGGGAGATTCCAAATCAGATTAGATTAACAGATTAACAGAGTCGGAAGGGACCTTGTCGGTCATCTAGTCCAGGGGTCAGCAACCTGCGGCTCTGGAGCCGCATGTGGCTCTTTCACCCCTCTGCTGCGGCTCCCTGTCGCTCAAAATATGCGTCACAACCACCAATGCGCGACACCTGCCGGCACGTGATTTATTGAGCTTTTCAATCCCCGGTAAGCCAACCATGGATAAATCCAAGAAAAGAAAAGTTTCAGAAGAAAACAGAACGTTTAATTCAACTACATATGCTAGTTTTGTGGCTGCTCAAGAAATCGTCAGGCACGGGAAGGTTTTTGTGGCTCCCGGTGTTTTCTTTTCTGTGGGAAAATGGGTCCAAATGCCTCTTTTGAGTGTTTAAGGTTGCAGACCTCTGATCTAGTCTAATCCCACGCCCAATCCCACGTCCTACACTATTTCTGACAAATGGCAGTCCAATCTCTTCTTGAAAGCCTCCAGGCACCCCAAGTTTAAAAAAGGGGTTAAAAAACTTTTTTTAAAACTTTTCTGCCCCCCTTTCCAATTACAGACACCGTGATTTCAACAGATGTGCTTGTTTGGGCCCCAAATATTGGACAGAAGAAAGAAACGGGAAGTTAAACTAAGCTTAAATTTTTTCATGGTTTAGTCGTGCAGAAGGGCTGATGACAGCTTGCAGTACAAGAGAGAGAGTTCCGGATTGTACACCTATCCAGGGATCTGCAACCTTAAATACTCAAACAGCCATTTGGACCCATTTCCCACAGAAAAGAAAACACCGGGAGCCACAAAACCTAGGTGGGTGTGGCCAAACTCAACATCACTCACTCCCACCCAGTCACATGACCCTCCCAGCCACGCCTACCCAGGTTTTGTGGCTCACAGTGTTTTCTTTTCTGTGGGAAACAGGTATCTCTCTCTCTCTGTCTCTGTCTCCGTCTATCTATTTCTCTCTCTCTCTCTGAAAATCATAAAAAAGAGCCAGTGGCGTCTGACTATATATAGTCAGCAAGTACAGGGGTGCTTCGTTCCCACTCTGGAATATCCTTTTTTTTTTTCTGCCTATGAGTTAGATGTCACTCACCCGGAATCAATATTCCGCTCAATTCTCCACTCCTGCACAGTGCTTGGTCCGGTTGCCCCAGCTTACTGGCAGTCGCAATGGCCGCCGTTCCCCGCTGCAGAGAGAGTTTCCTCTGACCTCCAGGGAACTTGCCTGTTTCTCTTGGTCTTCCGAGGTGCCTCTCTTTCTTCCCTGTCCCTACAGGACAAATCCGGTCCAAAGACCCCTCTGCAGCGGTTCATCAGCCCGGGATTTCGCGGGGCTCATCAGAGCCCGCTAATCACCGACTGTCTTGCCCCGACACTTCCGGCAGACCCCGTTCCCGCTCTGGAATATGGAGCGAGTCTCCATCCCCCGCCGTTCACCCTTACCATTTCAGGCCAGGTGAGGAGAGACTGGGAGGGGAGGGTGAGGGGCAGGGCCAGCCAGTGGTGGGTTCAGCTGACAGGGAGCCACAGCAGGGGGACGAAAGAGCCGCATGAGGCTCTGGAGCCGTGGGTTGCTGACACCCGACCGATACAAACTGACATCCACATAATCACACACTCACACAGCACTGCTCCCCTTAAAAATGACTTGTTAACCCGTTCACAATTTTCACTTGCACCGTTAACCCAGAACCCCATCCCGCCGTGAGCCCGATGCAGATTTTTCCTGCCCCCTCTCCCCAAGAAAAACACACGGCCTCTAGGATTGTCGTCGTTCTTTTTTAATGAATATATTTTATTAAATTATTTTTTTTCCTGCAAGACTTATTTAATTTTTTTTTGTTTGTTTGTTTTTCTCAATCCCAAAGACACGAAATTAGAAATATATCCAGTCGAAAAGGCAAACGAAGAAAGAAGGAACAGGAAGGAAGAAAAAGGGAAAGGAGTGGGGGTGGGAGGGGTAACAGGCAGTAGAAAATCCAGTACAGAAGGGTTATTCATGATTATTCGTAGGATTATTTCATATTATTTTTTTTCCTCTTTTTTTATTATTTTTATTATTTTTTTTCTCTTGGCTATACAGACATTCTCGGTATACACGGCACGCAGCAAAGGGTCAGTCACAACCTCATGCAAAAATCCAGGAAAGGGTCGAACAAGAGATTCCTTGTGGGGGGGGGAAGGGTCACCAATCAGCAGTGGGTTTCACATTTTGTTGCTCCCGGTTCACCCCGCGCGCGTGTGCGCCGTCCGGCTTCAAAACCGTGCCTAAATAGGACAGCATAGAGCCGGAGCGGGTGGATTACCGGTTCGCCTGAACCGATACGAACCGGCTGAATACCACCTCTGGACACCATCCTAAACCAAAGGACCTCCAACACAACATCATCACCATCATCCTCTTCTTCTTTTTTTCCTCGTTCTGCGGCTCTTGCGCCTCCACAGTCGTTCCCAAGCACCCACCAAACGGAAATGAGGGAGGGGGCCACACCCGGACCCTGCCCTCCGAAGCCCTCGTTTTGACAACATCTGCCCCTTTTTTTTTTTTTTAATGGCCTCTCCTTGCTTATATCCCAAAGGCAGTTTTATGTATTGCACGCGACACAGCCTAGAAAACAAAACAAAACAAAACAAAATCTACATTTTTTTTTAAAAAAAAAACAACAACAACTTTTCTTCCGTCTCGTTTTGGATCCGGGCCGTTCTAGGCGCTTTTTTTTCTATTGCACATTTTCTTTCCAAAGGCACAGCTTCTTGAGTTCGGGGTTTTTTTTTTTTGTCTTTTTTTTTTGTCTTTTCCCCCATAGGGGGTCAACGCTTACCCTCTCGAAGGCAAATTATTATCTCTCCTATTCCCCACCCCCCACCCAGCCACCCCCTAAGTCCCACAGCCCCTGGCTCAGGTGAGCTTTTGCTTCCTTGGCCAGTGAATTTTCTCGCACGGGGGCCGGGAAGGGGGGGAAACGCCACGCCTGTTTTAAAGTGCTTCGTTCTCAGAAATTTTTGCAATTTCTCCATTTCATTATTTCTTTATTTTTTTTTGCAACCCCCCCCAGGAATCGGGAATAGAATCATCCTGAAGAGATTCTCCCAAGAGCAAACATCCTCTGCTTTATATGTGGCCTATCCACCACCTTCCGTTTCCCCGAAGAGGCATCCCGCAGCGTGGTCCAGAAACACCGTTTTTTTGTCCACGCACGCACCCGATATATTCCCGTGTTCCCCGAAGTCCTTTTTTTTCCCCTTCCTCCCCACTCCCTCTCCCCCCCTAACCCCGGCGTCAGGAATCTCCCATTCACCCTCTCTCGTTTATAAGTTTATAAGTTTTTGTTTGTTTGTTTCTTTGTTTGTGTGTGTATGTGTTTTTAAAGTATTCAAACGCTGCGAGAAAAAGGGTTTATAAAAGCGTTAAAAGGAAACGGATGCGTGGCGACGGTGGGCTTTGTCGTTGCTTCTTTTGGTCGGGTTTGCCGGTTTTGGTCGGTTAGTTCGTCGTCGTTGTTTTCCTTTTGTCGTTTTGTTTGAGAAGGTGGTCCTCGTGGGGAAGGGGGGCGGAAAAAGAAGCAAGCAAAGAGAGAGGAAAAGGGTGTTTTGGTTTCGTTTTTTTTTTAAAAAAAAAAGGCGGAGAATTAAAGATGAGGGGAAGGTAAATAAGAGAGCGGAACCAAAGCGTTGTCTGCCATTTTCTCAAATTTGCACCGTTTCTGAAGACGGACAGGTGTTTTTCTCACCGCGTCTATTCGGAGAAAGCGGAATGCAGAAAAAAACCACCCTTTTGTGGGTTGAAATGGGAACCGTCTCCCTGCCTGTACATGAAATCCTCGACTTACGATAATCCGTTTAGCGACTATTCAAAGTTACAAGGACGCCGGGAAAAAAAATGACTTAATAGGACCGGTGCTCGCACTTAAGGACCATCCCCAGGGTCACGGGAACAAGGCCACTGAAAATTACAAGGCCGCTGAAAAAAAACTGCGATTTATGACCGGTTCTTGGACTTATGATTGGTCCTCGCACTTATGACTGTCCTCAAGGTCACGTGAATGAAATTCGGGCGCTTAGCCACCAGGGATGCATTTACGCCAGTCATACCATCCCGTGGGATCAACTTCCCGACCGGGTTTCCGATACGCAACGTTGAGAGGGGAAGAAAGCGAGATTCGCTTAACATCCGATTCACTTAACAACTGCAGCAAAGAAGGCCGCAAAAATCAGGTGTATTCAAAAACCGCTTTGCTTAGCCACCACGGAAATTCTGGTAGTAAGTTGAGGACTGGCTGTATTCCTATAAGGCCCGGAGGGAAGAACCCCCAAACTAACAACTTCAATTTGTAGGAATTGTATATTTGTGTGTGTGTGTGTCGTTTCGTTACAAGCAAACCGGCCCACCGAATGTTGATGTTCTCTCTCTAATCCAACCATCCTAATATTTAATTCTCCGGAGGGTAAAATTTCTCCTTGGACCTTGGCTCAATGTTACTCCGGTGCCTTTATATATATATATATATATGTCTTTGGTTATTCGGGTTTTCTCCCGCGTAAAATTGGAGGTGTCTTGGCAACGTTTCGACGAAATCTCATTCGTCATCTTCAGGCTGGTGTTTTCGGCTTCGTGCTTCTAGGAGCAATGTGTCAAGCAATTGCCAAGACACCTCCAATTTTACGCAGGAGAAAACCCGAATAACCAAAGACCTACATACAAACACCCGCGAAAACCTCAGAAAACATATATATATATATATATATACCGTATATATGTATATATTTAATAAATTTCACCGTTCGGTGCCCAACGGTTCCACAATGAAGGGGAAAAAAAAGGGGAAGGATGAAAAAGAAGAAAATAAAACGAACGAATGAATGAAGCAGGAAAAAGGAGATGTTCGTTATTTGGGGTGGGGGGCGAAAGCAGCAATCGCCAGTAGAAAGAGAGCCCTTTATATGTAAACGATCTAGAAAGTTTATAGTTTTAAAGAGGCAGCCGGAGTCACGGCTGCGGGTGAGTAAAGACATGTGAAAAAAGAGATAGAGGGGAGCGGGTGAGAGAAGGAGAGGAAGAGATCAAAGTTTGTTATCAAACTTCTATTTGGGGTGGGGGAGGAAGAGGAGGAGGAAGTGGAGGAAACGGGGTAGGGGAGACGGGGGGGGGGAAACAAAGGGCTCCTTCAGCCTCCGTCATCCCGTCTCAAGCCAGGAGGAGGGAGAATAGGTAAGCGAGACTCACGTCAACCAACAGGACGGCCGCCACGACCAGCAAGTGAGACCCCTGCAAAGAGAAGAAGGAGGAAGAAAAAAATAAATCACGATAAAAAAAAACGAATACCACTGTCAGTGTCTCACCGCTGGCATAGAGAGGAGAGAGATAAGCCCTGAACTTTTGCCTGCTAAATCCCTTTGAAGCCTGGTTGTCGTGGAAATGAGGAGGGGGGAGACATTCCTGGGAAATGACGAGACAAGAAGTCAGTGGAGTGACTTGGAAGATAGCCAATGAGATGCAGATAATTGGGGATCGGAAAGGGAGGGATTGGGGGGCAAAAGGTCAGTCTTGTCCGTATCGAGTCATGATCCGGTTGCTGTGCTCAATTAAAGAGAAGATTTCCTTAAAGATTGGCAGTTTGGAAATTCATTTATTATGAGATAGCATCGAAGTCTGACAACCACTTTATAAAGCCCTTGGTAAGGCCACGCTTGGAATACGGCGTGCAGTTTTGGTCGCACACGATATCACCAAGGGGTAGGGTTCAAAAAATTTGAGCAAGGGGTTCTCTGCCCGGTTGCTGGGTGGGTGTGAGTGTGATGGGCGTGGCCTAATAGGCCTCCTGCGCAATTGTGGAGGGGGGGCATTTTTGCCCTCCCCGGGCTCCGGAGGCTTTTCTCGAGCCTCCGGGAGAGCGAAAACGGCCTCCCCAGGTTCCAGAGGCCTGTTTCTGGCCTTCCCGAACTTCCAGTAGGCCCGTTTTTCGCCCTCCCCGAGCCTCTGTGCACGCCCTGCACTTACCTGCATCCAAAATGGGCCGTGTGGGGCAGGGGTGAAATCTAAAATTTTTTGCTACCAGTTCTATGGGCGTGGCTTAATTAGTGGGCGGGGCTTGGTGGTAAGGTGACTGGGTGGGCGTGGCCAAGTCAATGTCACTTCTTTGCCCTTTTTTAACCTACAAAACACAACACCACACAACTGGCTCACCCACAATGTAAAAGCAGCTGTGCTAGACTCAAAACGGCCCCTGCAACAAGCAGGAACCTCACACAGCCACAAAAAGCCCCAAAAAATCAACTTTCACACTTTACACACACAAAATTCCACATACAGCTTTGGGAGATTTTGTGTGTTTGTGTAGTTAAGAGTGAAACCCTACAGAAACACACTAAATCTCAGAAAGCTGCACAAATATTATTTTATTTTAATTTATTTTTATTTTTATATAAAAGCAGCTCAATTTAAAACTTCCTAAACTTTAAATGGCTAGGTCTAAAAAAAAGAACGACTAAAAAAAACCCCAATTCACTATTTTTTTTAAAGCTCCCAAAGGAGGGAAAAACTTACCCAATAGAACAGGGGTCTCCAACCTTGGCAACTTTAAGACTTGTGGACTTCAACTCCCAGAATTCCTCAGCCAGCTTTGCTGGGAGTTGAAGTCCACAAGTCTAGGCAGGAAGGCAGGCAGGCAGAAAGAGCTGCTCACCGATGAGCTTGATTGCAGGCAGGGAGATTCAGTTGCTTGCTGATGCATGGATTGCGATCGTCATGCGATTAGCAGGCAACTCAGCTGGGATGTCAGAGCTTGGCTGGTCAGAGCCATTTAAAAGGAAAAAAAGGCTCTGATGATCGCGGGGCTCAGCTGGGCATGGGGGGCGGGGGCAGGGATTTTTGCTACCGGTTCTCCGAACTGCCCGCCGCCATCGCTACCTACTCGCCCGAGCCGGTCTGAACCGGGAGCATTTCACCCCTGGTGTGAGGACTCCTGGGAGGGGAGGGGTGGGATGGGCGGGGCCAGCCAGGTGTGGGATGTGGGGGTTCTCCAAACTGCACAGAATCTTAGCTAGAGGTTCTACCGAACCCTTGGGAACCCCCAGCAGCCCCACCCCTGGATATAACGACTCTAGAAAGAGTGCAGAGAAGAGCAACAAAGATGATTAGGAGGCTGGAGGCTAAAACATATGAAGAACGGTTGCAGGAACTGATTACGTCGATTTTGATGAAAAGAAGGATTGGGGGTGATGTGATAGCAGGGTCCCAATATCTCAGGGGTTGCCCCCAAAAATAGGGGGTCAAGCTATTCTCCAAAGTGCCTGAGGGCAGGACAAGAAGCAATGGGTGGAAATTCATCAAGGAGGGAAGCAACCTAGAACCAAGGAGAAATTTCCCAACAGTGAGAACAATTAATCAGTGGAACAACTTGCCTCCAGAAGTTGTGAAGGCTCCAACACTGGACGTTTTTTAAGTAGGGGTTGGATAACCATTTGTCTGAAGTGGGGTAGGGTTTCCTGCCTAAGCAGGGGGTTGGACTAGAAGACCTCCAAGGTCCCTTCGAGCTCTTCTATTCTATGCTATGCTATGCTATGCTATTGTATTCCATTCCATTCCATATTTTCTATTCTATTCTATTCTATTCTATTCTATTCTATTCTATTCTATTCTATTCTATTCTATTCCATTCCATTCCATTCCATTCCATTCCGTTCCATATTTTCCATTCCATTCTATTCCGTTCCATATTTTCCATTCCATTCTTATTCCTGTTCTATTCAATTCTTATTCCTATTCTGTTCTGTTCTGTTCTGTTCTGTTGTTCTGTTCTGTTCTATTCTGCAGGGGGTTGGACTAGAGGACCTCAAGGTCCCTTCCAACTCTGCCGTTCTGTTCTGTTCCATTTCATATTTTCTATTCTATTCTATTTTTTTTTAAATTTGATTTATATGCCGCCCTTCTCCGGAGACTCAGGGCGGCTTACAATGCGTTAAGCAATAGCCTTCATCCTTTTGTATATATTTATACAAAGTCAGCTTATTGTCCCCACAAACTGGACATTCCATTCCATTCCAGTCCCTTCCACCTCTTGTCCCTTCCACCTCTTGAAGAACGGTTGCTGGAATTGGGGATGTCTGGTTTAATGAAAAGAAGGCCTAGGGGAGACATGATAGCAGTGTTCCAATATCTCAGGGGTTACCCCAAATAATAAGGGGTCCAGCTATCCACCAAGGAGGAGGAGGAAGAAGAGGGGGAAGAGGAGGAGGGATCACAGAACTGGAAGGGGCCTTGGAGGTCTTCTAGTCCAACCCCCTGCTCAGGCTATACCGTTCCAGACAATTGGTTGTCCAATCTCTTCTTAAAAACCTCCAGTGTTGGTGCAGCCACAATTTCTGGTGGCGGGTCGTTCCACTGGTTAATTGTTTTAATTGTCAGGACATTTCTCCTTCATTCTAGATTGCTGCTTTCCTTGATGAGTTCCCACCCATTGCTTCGTTGTCCTGCCTTCTGGTGCTTTGAAGAATAGCTTCACCCCTTCTTCTTTGGGGCAGCCCCTCAAATATTGGAAGGCTGCTATCGTGTCACCCCTAAGTCCTCCTTTTCATTAAACGAGAGCTGTGATGGTGAACCTGTGGCATGTGGAGCCATATCAGTGGGCACATGAGCATTGCCTTAGCTGAGCTCCGGCGTGCGCCAACCAGCTGATTTTCGGCCTGAAAAATCAGCTGGTCCGGCAGTGGTGGGTTATTTATTTATTTTATTATTATTTAAATTTCTATACCGCCCTTCTCCAAAATAGGACTCAGGGCGGTGAACAGCCAGAGTAAAAAACAATACATACAAAATTTAAAAGCAATTTAAAATAATTAAATATTATTGGCCGTAAATTAAAACAACCCAATTTAAAATCAATTTAAAATTAACTCAAGCCAGCCCAGCTAGTTGAAATAAATGGGTTTTCAGGGCCCGACGAAAAATCTGGAGGTCTGTTATTGTACGTATCTCTGGGGGGAGGTTGTTCCAGAGGGTGGGCGCCGCCACAGAGAAGGCTCTCCCCCTGGGAGTCGTCAGCCGACATTGTCTGGCGGACGGCACCCTGAGGAGGCCCACTCTGTGTGAGCGTACTGGCCGGTGGGAGGCTATTGGTGGCAGAAGGCTGTCTCGTAAGTAAGATAGGTAAGTAAGTAAGGTTCCTCCCAGTTCGGCCCAGTTCTGCCAACAGGTGACATGGCTACGCGTGCCACCTATGGCACGCGTGCCTTAGGTTTGCCGTCACGGCCCTATACCATTTCAGACAAATGTTTAAGTCCTTCTTAAAAAGGAGTAGGAGGAGAGGGGAAGGAGGAGAGGAAGAAAGAGGAGGGGAAGGAGGAGAAGGAGGGGGAGGAGGAAGAGGAAGAATAACAGAGTGAAAGAGTTGGAAGGGACCTTGGAGGTCATCTAGCCCAACCCTCCCCCTGGTCAAGGAGGAAGCCCTATAGGCCTATACCATTTCAGAAAAATGGTTGTCCAATCTCTTCTTAAAAAGGAGGAGGAGGAGGAGGAAGACGAGGAGGAGGAGGAAGGAGAACAGAATAACAGAATTGGAAGGTACATCTTGTACTGTTTCAGACAAACGGATGTCCATCAGTCCTTTTTTAAAAAGGAAGAGGAGGAGGAGGAGAAGGAGGAAGGAGAACAGAATAACGGAAGGGACCTTGGAGTCTCCTAGTCCACCTCTCCTGCTGAAGCGGGACATCTTGTACCGTTTCAGACAAACGGATGTCCATCGGTCCTTTCTTAAAAAGGCGGCGGAGGAGAGGAGAAGTAGGAGGGGGAGGGGAAAGATAAGAAGGAGGAAAGGTAAGAGGAGGAGGAAGAGAGGAGAACAACAGAGCCTCAAAGTTGGTAGGGACCTTGGAGGTCTTTTCGCCCGGAGCCCTCCTCCCCGCTCAAGCAAGAGACCCTACTACGCTATTCCCAGACGACGGCTTGTCCAATCTCTTCTTAAAAAGGGAGAGGAGGGGGAGGGCCTCCCCTCACCCCGCCGCCACTTTGCCGAGCGTGCTACGCCTGTTCTTTTCAAGCGTGCAAGCTGTGCCATTGTCCCAACGGCGAGAAAATTCTCCCTGAGCCAGCATTCCGGCTTTCTACGTGCAGTCACAGGCCGACGGGGCGGGCAGACGGATGAAATATGGGATACAGAGGCAAAGTGGGGGGGAGGAGGACGAGGAGGGGGGACATTTCCCCCCTCCTCACTACCATCACCACAGACACCCAGGTCTGCTCGGCGCCCGCGTGGCACTTGGCAGCCACAGCCCGGGGATAATGTTGTCCTTGGCACATTTCACCAAGCCCAGCGGCCCGGATAACATCACGGCCTACGCCTCCTGCTGTCTGTCCCCCGCCCCCTCCCTCCCCCCTTGAGAGCAGAACTGCTGGATTATTGATGACCTGCAGTTCTGCCAGCCCGCACCCCCCACCCCACCCCGCACCCCCCCCCCTCCCTCCCGACCCCCCCCCCCCCCCCCACTGCGGTGGTGCCCGAGCGACCAACTGGCAGGGCCCATCCCGATGCTGCAGTGAAGAAGGCGGGACCAAGGAGGATGCTGTTGCCGAGGGGAAAGGATGCGGTTGCCTAGCGACGGGAGGAAGGCGGCTAGCCAATCCCCTTGTGGATGCTGCGGGGCAGGCGGGGGGGAGGGTTTCGTTCTTCCCAACCCCAACCCTCCTCCCTTCCTCCCTCTCTCCCTCCATCCTTCCTCCTTCTGTATTCAAAAAAATGAAAATAACAGACATGGTTTGGGGAGGGGAAAAAAGGGAGGGGGAGAAAGGAGGAAGGCGAGCACTGTGAAAAGACCCCCGCCCTCCCCCGAGGGTGTTTTATGGGGGCAGTGAGATATGCCACGGTTCCACCAAGAAGGTTAAACCATGGTTTGTTTGCCGTTGTGCAGGGATATACTTTGTGGGGGGAATCTTATGAATGGGCCGGAGAGAATTGGGGAGTTTTAGAAAAAAAAGGGGGGGTTGGAAATTGGCCCTTCCTCGGTTGTGCAAACGGGGTCGGGATGGTGTCTTTAGTCCAGAAAGTGGGGGGGGGGGGGGGGCCCCCTAGAAAAAAACAAAAATATGTTGGGGGGGGGTTTTGGGGCGGTTAGATGTCAGCGAATTGTGTGCATCGCACAAGAACTGTTACCGGTTGTGTGGATTGTGCTAGCGGAGTGGGAGGGGGCTGCTATTTTCTCTTGGGGGTGGGCGGGCGTTGAGATGCTCCTGGCAACGGTGCCGGGGTGGTGGTAGTTGCAAAACCTACGGCCTTGCTGTGACTGCTCTCCCCCACCCCGCCTCCAGTCTGCAGTTCAACCGAAAACAAGGGAAGACTTCATCTTAACGACCGCAATCGGCATGGAAGATTAAAAAAATTCAGCGGTCGCGAAACGAGACGCCACGTGCCACAGGCCTTTGTGTGACTTTCCCAGCCGGCTTCCATATTGATTTTGCTCGGCGAAGAAGGTCACCAAACGGTGGCGTACGGGGCCCCGGGGATACAGCTGTTGCGCCCGTCGCAAAAAGAGGACAATAATTTGCCAACGAATCCACAATCGGGGAATGCGGGGGAACCCGGTCGGTCACGGTGAGACGTGCGACCGTGTCATGAGTCCCCCCCCTTTTTTTCCCCCAAGGCCGTCGTAGGTTTGAGTACAGGCAGTCCTCGACTGAACGACCACAATTGGGCCCGAAATTTCTACAGTTTAAGCGACACCATTGTTGAGTGAGTTTCGCCCTCCCTTTGACGACTTTGCTCGTCAAAACCGTCGCAAAAGGGGATCACATAACAAATCCCCCCCCCAGGCCACTGCGACCGTCATAAACTATGAGTCAGATGCCAAGAGTCCGAATGTAAATCACTGCAACGGTCATAAAGTGTGAAAAACGGTCATACGTTGCTTTTTTCAGTAACTTCAGAAGGTCACTAAGCGAATCGTTATAAGTCGAGAATTATCTGTAATGTGTAACTAGAAAGCGATGGACTTCACCTCTTGCTAAACCATAACCTGTTCGGTTGGATTGTGGGTTTTGTGTAGGTCTAAACCTGCCTATTGTAACTTGTAAATCATGGTTTATTGCCTTAGCGTTATCTGGGAACCTAATCATGGTTTAGTAAGATGTGTGAATTGTGCCTTAGGACAGTAGGAACTTAAATGTTTGAGCTTTAAGCTTCCTTTCGCTTCAAAGATCATCCATTTTTGACGCAATTAAGGATGTTGAGGGCCGCCATACCAAAAAAATTCAAGATGGCTGCCACAACTATATTTACAATAATGCGTGAAGCTGGAACATTCGCGTCCCAAAAGTGGGATTATGGGTTATCCTCGATTTAAGACAATTCGCTTAGTGACCGTTCGAAGTTACAAGTTCGAAACAAGTGACAGACGGACCATTTTTCACACTTAACGACCGTTGCCAGCATCGCCATAGTCATCAATACAAATCAAATAAACTAACTAAACATCTGATCAACTGACTCACATTTACGACGATTGCAGTGTCCTGGGGTTGCGTGATCCCCTTTTGCGACCTTACAACGAGCCAAGTCAACAGGAAAGCCGGATTCACTTAACAACCGCGTGAATAATTTAACAACCGCAGCGATTCGCTTAACAACGGTGGCAAGAAAAAATCGTGAAACGGAGCAAAACTCACTGAACCAATGTCTCACTTAGCAATAGAAGTTTGGGGCTCAGTTGTGGTTGTAAGTTGAGGACTATCTTATGAATAATTTTGCTGCCTTTAAACAGTGGTTAGTCCACGCCACACACCCAGCTGTGATATGCTATTGTGGTTTACTGAATAAACTACCATTGGCTGATTCCTCACAATGCTAAGACACAGGCCAGGAAGCCCCCTTCTGTGGGCCCAGACGGATCTCTCTGTGCTTTTAACAACGGCCTGTCAGGCAGAAATCCAACAGGTTGGGTTTCTCACAGTATTTGGGATTCACTTATCAAAGACTGCCTCCAATCTCAGCTTTCACCAGAGGTATAAAACACGGAGCTTGCAAAACCCAAGTTGATCGGACTATATTTTGTATATCCTCCTGAGGTGGGACTTCAGTGCCCATCATCCTTGGCCAGGAGGGGCGGGAGTTAGCCCAACACCTGAAGAGAACAGCAGATGGGACAAAGAAGTCCTTAGCAGAATTTCCCAAAACCTAAATTAAAAAAATCCTTGCTACACCTCGGAGGATTCAAGAATTCACTTAACAGAGTTGGAAGGGAGCCTGGAGGTCTTCTAGTCCAACCCCCTGCTCAAGCAGGAGACCCTACACCCGTGATGGCGAACCTATGGCACGCGTGTGCTGCCCTAGCTCAGCTCCAGTGCGCAAGCGCGCCTGCCAGCTGATTTTCGGGCCTTCCGATCCCACTGGAAGTCGGGAAACGGACTGTTTCTGGCCTCCGGAGGGCCTCTGCGGCGGGGTGGGGAAGGCGGTTTTCGCCCTCCCCAGGCTCCTAGAAAGCCTCTGGAGCCTGGGGAGGGTGAAAAATGGATCTTCCGGTCCCACCAGAAGTCGGGAAATGGGCCGTTTCCGGTCTCCGGAGGGCCTCCGGTGAGGTGGGGAAGGCCGTTTTCGCCCTCCCCAGGCTCCAAGAAAGCCTCTGGAGCCTGGGGAGGGCAAAAAACGGGCCTACTGGACCCACCGTGCCATTGTGTGCCAAAAGCAGGTGGGACTGTGGGGGGCAGGTCACATGCACATACTTGGGAGGGTGGGGCGCATTGAATTATGGATGTGGGCACGCGCGCCCATGACCCCCCCACACACTTCCCCCACATTTGGCACACGACAGCAAAAAGGTTAGCCATCACTGCCCTACACCAACTCAGAGAAATGGTTGTCCAATCTCTTCTTAAAAACTTCCAGTGTTGGAACCCCCACTATTTCTGGTGGCAAGCGGTTCCACCGGTTTAATTCTCCTCACTGTGAGGAAATTCCTCCTTAGTTCTAGGTAGCTTCTCTCCTCAGTAAATTTCCATCAAGTTGGATCGGTTTCCTTGTCGTGGGAAAGGTTCACGGGAGAGAACCCGAGAACAGGTCAGAGGTTCTGCTCTCTTGATGGGGTGTGTCCAGGAACGGGTCAAAAAAAATCAAGAGGGTGGCCACTACCATATATGATCAAAGCAGAATCTTGTGGTGGATCAATATTGACTGTGTTCAGCATTCCTGCACCCACCTTTGCCTCTAGCATTCTTATATGTTCTTCTTCCTTTCCTTGGATGATGTCCAAGACCATCATCTTCTATTCTGAAGATGATCTTGGACATTTAGCTCAGATCTAAGGCATCGGGCATGGTGCTTTAGAGCTAAATGGAGTCACCCGTCTAGATTCGTACTCAGGTTCGCCAGGAAGACCTGAATCTAATGTCCATCTGAGGTGTCCCACCCTCCTTAAAATGCGTTGACCTCTTACCTGTCTCCCCCTTTGGACTGCTTGTAGACTCTCTGGTCCCTCCAGCAGACGAGAAGACCTGCACGATTCCTCGTTCTTCGGTTCTGTGTCAACCGGAATTCCCAAGGGTACCGTATTGTCCTGGTTCCCCCCGGGATAAGTCTTAGAAGCGTTCCGTTCTTCCTCCTCTTCTTCCTCCTCTTCTCGGAGGCTGCCCGAGCTGCCGCTAGCTGGGCTGCCCGGCTGAGGGTGCTGAGGGACCCTCTCGTAATCTTCTTCCTCGGCTTCGTAGCTGCTCAGCTGCCCCTGTTCCTCCTCGCCTTCCCACAACCCCTCGGGAACGAGCCGCGGTGTCCGAGACGGGAAACTACCCCGCGAACCCCACTCCTCCTCTACATCCGAGGCTTCGGGGAAGAGCTGGCGAGGACCCCCGTTCTCCAAGGGAGGCCAAGTCCGCCGAGGGTCCCCCCGCCAGGGTTGCAGCGGAGTGGGAGGGTAACTCGGCGGTAAGCTCGGATCCGGGGTAACGTCGGAAGGGGTGATGCCGTTCTCGTAGACATGGGGACTGTCGTACTCATGGAAATCGGTGTCGGTGCCTTCCGAATCTAACCGGCCCCGCGGCTCTGGGGGAGGAGAAGCAACTGGCAGTTAAAGAAAGAAGGGATGGGTGTAAAAAAACTCTGGCTTTGAGAAAGTTTGGAAATCGCTCTGATATCACAATCTCGATTGCAAGACGAAAGTACAGTGGTACCTTGGTTCTCGTCGTTAATTAGTTCTGGGAGGCGCGACACGTACCAAAAATGATGTACCAAATAATTTTTTCACATAAGGAATACTGTAGTGAGTCACAACATCGACACATTTTAACTGGTGTGTTGGGTATCAAACAAACGACAAGTACCGGGGCAAAATGTTCACGTCAAAATGTGTTGAGCACCAAATCCGATGCACTTCAAAGCCGTCGAGTACCAAGGTACCACTGCAGTTAAACGTCCACTCGGGATTGTAAAAATCAGAACAGGTGTGTAATAGGAGCGGTCCTGTTATTTATTAATGACGCCCCCTTTTTAAATTAGATTTCACGGCAGTATTTTTCAAGCTTTAGTCGCTTTAAGATGGGTGGACTTCAACTCCCAGCATGCTGGCTGGGAAGTCCTGGGAGTTGAAGTCCACCCATCTTAAAGGGACTAAGGCTGAAAAACGGTCTTCGACAGCAACATTAATGTAATATACACGGCACATTATAACAGAATAACACAGTTGGGAGGGACCTTGGAGGTCATTTAGTCCAGCCCCCTGCTCAAGTAGGAAACCCTATAACTGTGATGGTGAATTTATGGCACCTGTGACAGAGGGGGCACACACAGCCCTCTCTGCCAGCTGCCCTTCGCAGGCGCTAGAGTGCCATTTTCCGCCATTTTCTGGCCTTTTTCTG